AGTTTACTTCCAATTTACACTTTATTTTTATATTTTCGCCTAAGGTAAGTAAATTTTAGTTACAGTTAGCTTGTCACCTTGTTTGCTCTTGTATTACGATTTTCATCAAAAGGTTGTGAAAACTGACATTGATTTACAATAACATTTATTTCTGACATAAGCCTATACATACATTCCCAATCATTTACCGTACTCTTAATATCGGACACTGCTGTCTTGTTTTGTAATGTTACATTAAAAGGCTTGTAAGGACTGCCATCTTTAAAGTAATATTAATTTCTGATGAATACTTCCATTACTAATCTAGGAATTTTATGGCGACCAAAAAGTGCTATGAGCAATTTTTATAAATTTTGTTTGACTTAATCACCGTGTACTATAGGTTAGCGTCCCCATAATTCGATGTGCTGTTCATCTCAATGTCAACCATCTACCGCGTACAATCGTTATTTAAACTTTTCTGATACTAATGTTGTACTGTTGTCTTACATTTAAACTACATAACATCAATGAACAGTACATGGTTGTTTCGCGTCTTTGTATTCTTGGGCCGATTCTTTCATTTGAACAATCTTCAGTGGGTAGTGGTTGATCTTCGTTGGTAGTTGTAGCTCGGTTGTTCTGAAGTCTTGAAGTGGTGTCATTTGGTTTGTAGTTTTGTTTGAGGTGGTAGTGTCTATGGAACTAGAGTTGCTGAAGCAGTATCGTAATGATGATGTAGCGGGCTGTTGAGATATCGTAGATAGCTGTAGTCTTTGTCGTTGATGGTAGGTTTGATCCTAGGAAGTGTAGCTTGGAACTATTTTCGATTATTTAGCTAGACGACGCCTACCTAGCAGCAATCCTAGGTAGGATTATCGTCCAAATTACGATAATCTCGACGAACGATACTCAACGATCAACTCGACTACTCAAATTTCAAAACCTATGATTATTCATCTCTCGACTACTCAAATAGCATTATCCAAATAAAATAAAGATAAAATAAACATTATTAAACTAAAAAAGAGATTTAAGACTATCAAACCCTCCAGCATTACGCTATTCTCACATACTCAAACACTTTGATATAGTCAATTCTAGTCCCTTGATTTTAAGGTATCCAAAATTTTACTTTTCGCAAAAACTATCTAAGATTACAATTGTGGTAGCTTCACATCTTCAATAATTCAGCAGGTCATAGACCTAATATTTTATTAAATATTTTTGAGGTAATTAATTATTCAGAAATCCAAAGAATAGCCTACCAAGAGAAAAAAAAGGTTGACCTATGAACTATGCAAAAGAAACACTAGGCTTAAATAAATGATGGTATTAAATTATGTTAAGACAATAATTGTTTGCAATCTTCGAGTGTTGCTGTATGTTAGGTAGCTTAAATGTAAGACAACAGTACAACAGATAGATTTTTTCTTTCTTTTTTATTTATGAACATGATAAAATAGTTACAATACATAGCATTGCATAAAGAGAAAAAAAGAAAATGTAAGGTTATCTTTGTCAAGTTTTACAAAACGTCTAATATATGTTATATTCAATATTCCTAGATCAGGGGTCGGCAACCTTTTGAAGCGGAAGAGCCAAAAGTTACAATTTTCAAAATTTCCCTGGTTTTAAAGAGCCACTAACATTTTTTTTAATTTCAAATATTCTATTTTTTTTTTATTAAGATTATTAGTATTTGTTCAAGGAGCTGTAGAGCCGCATCTTGATATCAAAAGAGCCGCATGCGGCTCGCGAGCCGCAGTTTGCCGATCCCTGTCCTAGATTAATCCTGTCAAGTTTTACACTAAACAAAACGTCTAATATTGTCTCTATTTAAGACATCGGGTGATGGTACGCCATGTGTGACAACAGATAGATACAATTAGATTGTGTCCCTTGTTTCAAGGGATCCAAAATTTAACTAACGAAATCACAGAAGATAATATTCATAAGAGGATTAACTACTTAAGCGATTCATCAAGTCTTTAATCTTTAACTTTAGCCAAAGTTTTAGAGTAGAATAGTTATTTAAAAATCCAAGAATTTCAAAAATAGACATTAATTACCGTATTGAAGTAATAATTCTTGTGTTTGCTATAAAAAGTGAAACAATTATGTTTGGTTTTTTTTCTATTATTTTTCTCTTTCATTAGAAAAATAATTAAGTTATTGGTTGTTTCCCCTTGTATCAAAAACTTTAAATGGGAAGCAACTAATACAAATAAATAACTAATCCAAATCGATTCTATTTTTCAACATTGCAATATATTTAATGTTATTATTTATCAAACAATGTTTTATTTCGCTTAATATATTTATATCTATCGAGTTTGTTTGATTAAAAAATAAGCATCGAATTCCCGTGACAATTAGCGAATAAAACTCAAAGATCTTTTGTACTGGTAAGTGCATTCATTTTAAAATTATAAACTTATGTTGTGCATAATTGTAGAATTACGTATACACAATTTCTTTTGATAGTAAGACGATTCATGCACAAGAGATAAAAAATCCTTTTTTCATTAATTTATTCACACTTCGAGTTTTTTTTTTTTTTACTAAAGCTTCTCAAATATTAAAAATACTTAAATTCAAAAGTGAAAAAAGGTCCATTATTATGTTTAATGAATTGATTTTTGTTCCTTGATTTTCCCATGTCTACGAAATAAAGAAACATGATTAGACATAAATAGACATCATTTTAAGCTTTTGAAATGTTCTTTATACTTAAAGGTATTTTTTAAAATAATTTTTCGCTTGGTCTAATTTGCTTTTTTGGTAATAGTGCGGTTTTTAAAAAAATATCTTTGTAGACCTTGTTTTCGTCAACTCGTTTCTCTCAATTGATACGTGCCGTAGGATCTTGCCGTACGATCGTGCCGTACGATCATATGACTTCATGTATTGTTAATAAAGACATGGCTCGTGTGAATGCGATATTAACTTTTAAGACCTATTTCGTTCTATGGACCTATTTTTATGCCAGTTTCTACACAGAAAAAATATTCAGCACAAAACGGAACGCATGCACTTTTATGTCTAAGGACTTTACAACGTATCGGAACTTCTTTCCGAATCACTAAGTATATACAAATCATCGGACGGACAAAAGTCATTACATCGCTAACATTGTACATTGAGCCATTGGAGATAAGCGATATGATCCTATCGCATGTTTTCGCGATTATTCAGTACTAGTCTACACCTAACCAGTGGCGTAGCGAGGTCGGGTGGTACCCGGTGCGGCACTTATTGGTTTCACCCCCCCCCCCCCAGAGGCGTAGCGACCCTTCCCGGGGACAAACTTTCAATTTTCGATTTGCAACCCCCCCCCCCCCTCCCCTCAAACTTTCGATTTGCACCTTTTAAAAGACTATTTAACACTCGAATTAATCACTTAATTAAATGGAATTATCATTTTTCTCTATGTATTTTGCTATTTTTTGCCTTGGTGTCACCCCCCTAAATGGTGACACCCGGTGCGGTCCGCTCCCCCCCCCCCCCCCCCCCCCCACCGCCTCGCTACGCCTCCTCACCTAACCCATTACTAGTCCCCATCTTTCCTAGCACTAATCCGTACCTCCACGAGTCAACAACTCCTCTAGTCCGCACCCCCCCCCCTTTCCACCGAGCACTGTTTAAGCGTGAAGAAATTAATGACTAAACGGTGCTTTTTATCTTTTTTTTAAAAAATGAACGGTGAGAGATATTCCTTAATTTTTCTCGAATATTTTCATGTAACACTTTTTTTTAATTACTTAAACTTTTTTTTTTTTTAAATAGAATAGAATCTCGTAGAAAAAAGAATTGCGCACCAATTGAAAGCCAATATATATTCCATACAAAGAAAAAAAAACAAGTTCAACAGTATTTTATACACTACAAAGTATTAATATTGAGAGAGGAATAAAGATCAGCATCTTGATATGAAATAAACCGGGAGTGATCTCCCCTAAAATTTCTCGAATATTCTTATATGAAACAACAGGGAATGGCAACTCGGGATATAGTCATGATTTTTAATCAGTGTTTCTTCCAGACTTTTTTCTCCGGGGGGGGGGGGGGGGGGGCACTTGAAATTTTCGGGGGGGGGGGGGGCGGGCGGACACTGTTAAAAGTATATATTTTCTATATAAATTATATAAATTTCATTTCGTTCGGGGGGGGGGGGGGTAGAATTTTTTCGGGGGGTGGGCATTGCACACCAAGTGAACGCCAAGTAAAATGTGCATAATAGAGCGGATATTATTAGTAATTAAAAATTCACATGCTTTTTTTGAGAAATCGGAAATAGCGAAAATTGTTACTTATGGTTAACAAAAATTACTCAAAATTTTATAGAAGGCAGAGAATTAGTTTTTTTTTTACTTACATGTGAAATTTTATTTATCTATCTGCAATAGTACTCAAGTTATAGGCTTTTGAACAATTCAAAGTAGAAAAAGTTCCACTTCCGGCTATCGGAAATCACTCAAAAGTTGATACGGATTTACAATTTTGATATAATGCTTATATATGAAATTTCATCAACCTAGCTGTAACGGTACTCAAGTTATCGTGTTTACACACACACACACACATCCACAGACATCAGAGGCGTAGTGATGGGGGGGCAGGGGGGTACATATATCCCGGACCCCGACCTTAGGGGGCGCCAAAATGGGTGGTAAAAACAAATTAAAATGTCATTTTATCTGCATTTTTGCATTAGTTTGAGGGGGGGGGGGGGGTGCAAATCGAAAATTTAAGGGGGGGAGGGGTGCAAATTCAAAATGTGCTCCGTGGGGCGCCAAATTGAAAGTTTGTCCCCGGGAAGGGTCGCTAAGTTTCTGACAGACATACGGACAAGATTGAAAAACTATGTTTTTCAGACTCAGGGGTGCAAAACGTCGACGTCGAGATTTTAAATCTCGATTTTTTTTTGCAAGATTACAAGACTTTCTCTATACTTCGTATATACAAGAAAGTAAAAAGAAAAAGAACAATTAAGTATTTAAAACAACAAAATAGATTTGAATCAATAGTTTATTTTCAATAATTACAAGAGTTAGTGATCTTGTGACACATTTTTTTTTTAAATTGAGAAAAGATTTGACACAACAACATGCTCAAGTAGTTCATTTGTTCAAAATTAGCCATCACTCACCATCATACAAGGCAAATTAAGTACCAGTATACAATTCATGTGGCAATGTGTTGAAGAGTTGAAGAAAAAAAATGAGTATTCTAATTCTATATGAATAAATAAAGAAATGTTTAAAAATGATAGGGTTTGAGAATATTCTTGAACCTAGTGTTTTTATTTTATAATTTGATAAACACTTTAGCGAGACCTTACAGCTCGACAAAATTCTTTACGAATACTTTAGATATATATGTCTTCAGATTAACTAAGATGGAGGTAGTGAATTACAAGCAGAAGAGAGTGCTAAGGATTTGTGAAACTATTTCAGACTCAAGACTCGCTGCCCTACATCCAATGTTCCCTCTAAGCTGCGCCGCCACGCAGTAGTTTTGTAAAATAAATATATCCTTTTATAAGACTTTTAGAACAACGCGCACAGAAAATACATTTTGCACACAAGCTTTTCCCCCTTAGAGGGAACATTGCCTACATCCACGGACTATAGTGAAGACTGGACAGGATAAGGTTACTACAAGTCCTACATAGAGTCACTATAGCCTCACTCAGGTCTGTGTGTATACTTGCCATAAGATGAATGACCAGCCATCTTTAATGAATATTGACCATCATCTGTGACAGGCTATTGGTTATACTGACCAACATATGCATAACTAGCCATTCTTTATTCTTAGTGTTAATAGACCATCATCTATGACCAACATCTGGTCTGGCTGTTGGTTATGCTGACCAACATATGCATAACCAGCCATCTTTAATGCACATAGACAATCATCTATGACCAACATCTGGTCTGGCTGTTGGTTATACTGACCAACATATGCATAACCAGCCATCTTTAATGCACATAGACCATCATCTATAACCAACATCTGGTCTGGCTGTTGGTTATACTGACCAACATATGCATAACCAGCCATCTTTAATGCACATAGACAATCATCTATGACCAGCATCTGGTCTGGCTGTTGGTTATACTGACCAACATATGCATAACCAGCCATCTTTAATGCACATAGACCATCATCTATAACCAACATCTGGTCTGGCTGTTGGTTATACTGACCAACAGATGCATAACCAGCCATCTTTAATGCACATAGACCATCATCTATGACCACCATCTGGTCTGGCTGTTGGTTATACTGACCAACATATGCATAACCAGCCATCTTTAATGCACATATACCATCATCTATGACCAACATCTGGTCAGGCTGTTGGCTATACTGACCAACATATGCATAACCAACCATCTTTAATGCACATAGACCATCATCTATGACCAACATCTGGTCTGGCTATTGGTTATACTGACCAACATATTCATAACCAGCCGTCTTTAATGCACATAGACCATCATCTATGACCAGCATCTGGTCAGGCTATTAGTTAAACTATCATATGTATAATCAGCCATTCTTAGTGCTAATTGGCCACCTGTGACTAACATTTATCTGGCCACCAGTGACCATTATTACAATTGGTAACACTGACAAGTATATGTATAAACCAACTTTTTCAGCAGACTGACCAGCTCTAGCCAACATCTCGTTTAGCTATAGATTATGCTGATCAACATAGGTATAACCAGCCACTCTCAGTGCAGACTGTTTATCACCTTAAACCAAAATCTCTTGTCGATTCGCAACAACTTCAACAGACTATCTTTTCCTTAAAGAATATCCCAAATCCTCAATAAAATGTGTGAAAATATACATCAAAACAAACTACTGTGCCAGCCCCAGGAGGAATATATGTACATCATATCTAAATAATATTTCAACAGACCTTTTCTATTGATTAATTTTTTAAACTATTGACTAAATTGTTACAAAATTCAATTTTTTAAAGGTAAAAAAAAAAAAAAAAATTACTCATAAATTAAATTGTCTTTTTAGGTAAATAAAAATTATGTAAACAATTAGAAAATAGACTGGCTACAGGTCTTAGCTGAAGAATCCACATCCACAACCCCATCTCAAAGCTAGAAGCATACACAGTATAATAGTATAATTAACGCCAAACCTTATTCACAGAGGAAAGATACTCAATTATCAGAATTCTAACAGTACCAAAACCCGCTTTTTTTATAAAGAAAAATGAAGGAAACGAATTTTAAAAAAAACATTATTGAAAAAACAATAATAGGTTTGATACATTGGTTTATGACGATCAGAAAAAAAACTTAAGTAAACGTAATCACTGACACTTTAAGTTCTGTAGCCAGTCAATTAAATAAAGCTGATATCACTCAAGCCCTAAAAAAAATTTGCACTGGAGTTTTAGACTAGCAGAGTTCTATAATACAAAAATAGGATACTGTGTCCTAAAAGACGCCTATCCATAGTCTTTTTACAATATTAAAAATGTATTTATAACGGATTGTTGACTTTTTAATATGGGTGTTAGGCCTATTTGCGTGATATTGTACAAGTATGAGATCAATAATGCTATTGCCACTATTGACGAGGGTATACTCTATCAAGATGGGTTATCTCTGGTTGTCTTATGAACATCCTATGATACCCATTATGATGAGGCAAAAAAAAAGAAACAAGTGTACCCATCTAATTGTTTTAGTAACCTTCACCTATCTGACTTTAAATTTGCGTATGTGAAACAATTTTAACGTATAAAAGAACTTTACAAATACCCTGTATGTAAACCCCCATAAACAAACACAATAAATGACACTTCAGCCTTCTTTACATAAATAGGTTTTTACATGTTTTATTTTTTATGATGATCAAAGGTTTAAAAATGTATTGTGTTAGCTGGTTGAGGTTCTTTGAATTATATTTTTATAATTCATGTGTAGTTAAGTAGGGTGGTAAGCACTTAGTATCATCAGGTTTATGAGAGTCTAGGAAACAGATGAAGAAGGCTAAGGAAAAATAAAGATCATGTAAAGAATAATTCTATTATTTGTACACTTTTCATATCTAAAAAAACTACACCACTTTCCATTTAGATTTAGAGCATTTCATTTAAGTTATGATGTGCAATCTTTGCAAAAGGTAAAAAAAAAATTGTTTTGAAGACAAATATTTTTTTTTTACATTAGGTTTATGAGCATGAAAACAAATTGCAATACGAGATTTAAATAGTTTCAGTAAAAATCTATGAGCATAAAGTAAATACAGGAAGCCCTCGGTTTACACCCGATGTTGCAGAAACGCAACAACTATGTAAACCTTGGGCTGGTTGTTATCTAATTACAACTGGCCAACAGTATCTATCACAGGTACACAAAAGACATTATTTTGATTGATGCTGCTTTACAAGAGGCCATCCACATATTCAATGATTAAAATCAGCAGCAGATTTTGTTTTATGACTGGGAGAAAAGGTGCAAATGTGAATGCAGGCAGACATTTTCCCAGATTCATTAACAAAATCTGCCGTTTTTAGTTTTATAATATTTTTTTTTTTATAATTTGGATACAAATTGTTTTTGTTTTAATAATATAATGTTATGCTTATTTCCATATGATATATGCAGATCAACTTGGCCGAGTTAAATAAAGAGAATCATCTACATAATATTTAAAATTTAAAGAGCTAAAATGTTTAGTAAAATTTAGAGAGAAAGGAATTACTTTATAAAATATTTGGATGGCCATAATGTAACTGTTACATGTTTGTTTTTAATTAACAGAATGACAATAGTGTGTAGGATGCATGCCAATGTTTTACATTCACAAAAAAAAAACATGAAACATTAAAATATATTTTAACAAATGTACATAAATATTCTTTCCTCAAAAACAAAATTATTTTTAACAGTAACTTGAGTTGCTAGCAGTATTTTTTTTTTGTGAACAGAGACAGAGCATCTGATCAGTACCACTTAATACATCACAGCTTTAAATAACAGGAGCTTATGAAACATTTGCTTAACAAGAGCAGAGAGAATTGATATTAAATTTTGCAGAAGGAATTTTTGGACAGTTGTGTAACAGGCCTGGTAAGCTGTTGTGCTATGGGCAGAACAAAACTGTTTCAATAGGTAAAAAATAATGTTTTTTTTTATTTACTGAGCTTCTTTACAACATGGCATAGCAAGCTGTTATTTTAGGGGCTGAACAAAAAAATGTAAAGGGAAAGAAGAAAATTGTTTTTTTTTTTAACCTGAGGAGCCTTATAACAGCCCTTGGCAAGTTGTAATATGGGAAAAAGAACTTTTTTTTATAGGGAAACATGAATGTTTTTTTTTACTGAGCAGTTTTATAACAGCCCTGGTAAGCTGTTGTGTTAAGGGCAGAATAAAAAACTGTAACAGGTATAAAAATGTTTTGTTATTTAAATAAAAGGGGCAGAAGACATATTTTTTTAACACAGACAGAAGGAACTTTTATAACAGGGCAGAAATTCTAAAACAGACAAAAGAGAAAATTTTCTTTACAAATGGGGCGGTAGAAATGTCTATAAAAGTAAACATTATGTACAAATGAAACAGCCAATTGATGAAAAATGAATATGTCATGCTATGGAAAACATTCGAGCATGCAAAATTTGAGTTGACATGCTTGTTGGTGCCCACTGCGATTACTTCATGAGCAGTATTGGTGCTCGCTGACATAGAATTGAGAAGAAGCTTTCTGAAAGGTCACATCGACTGAATGATCTAATGAACAAATTTTTTTCACAACAACCAACTTTAAAAAAAAATGACTGTAAAAATTAAATATAATTACAAGAGACAGAAAATGAAAGAATTTGAAAGTAAAAGGATTTTTTTTCTTCTAAAAACACTGAAAGGATGAAATAGTTGTGGCAGCAGGTATTTATATATATGCCCCCATTGGCTAGCCTGATATCCCACATATTTAATTTAAAAAAAAAAAAAAAAACCTGCATGTACAATATTCAACAAGACAAGAAAAAAATAATTTAAAAACAAAAATTGTGGAAAGACAAAATGGTATGTTGAATAAGTTTAGTAAATAGTTTGCAATATTTAGGATTGGCTGGTCAGAGGATCTTGCTTGCTTGAGTGACAAAAGGGAGGGCATGCCGCATGCAGTCAACAATTAACTAACGAGGTCAATGTCACATACCTGCAAAACAAGTGAAATTAACTTCAACAATTAAGTTATTGAGTAAAATATGTGTGGGTTTGCAGCTACATATTAATGGGAGTATTAAAATTAAGATTCTCTTTAGACCTAGCGATCAATTTGGTATAAGAAGTAGAGTTCATATGTCTTGACCTCTGCATATGAAGAGATAATGTGGTCAGCACTTTGCCCAGCTGCCTTAACTTTCACAAACATGAGTTAGGTAGACTACTTATCAGAGCTGGGTGAACTCAGGGACATTCTACTGACTGGAACAGGTAAGCAGTCTAGCGCTCTACCCCTAGGTATGGAGGATTAGCTTATCCACTAACGGAAAGAAAGTTTCAACGTAAATAAAAATTATTATGGTAACATCTATATATAAATACATAAATGTGAGCACTTTTAGTAACAATTACTAAACATCTATTACGTCAATACAAGTAACAAAATAAATAACAATTAAGATCAATATATTGAAATACTAAATACACTTATAAGGATTAACATGCAAATGAAAAGAAAAACCATTTTTTTTTGTAGGCAAAGGTAGGAAGTTACTAAAATAGATAAGACATGCTGTGCTTGATCCAAGTAAGAAATAATGCATTCAAGGCATTTATGCAAGTAAGAACACACCAAATTTATGTATACAATTAGGAATTATGTAAACAATTATGACCTCTGTAAGAAGTTGAGCCAAAACACACTGTAGAAATTTTATCTATTTACAAGAATGAGAAATCCACAGCTAAAGTTAGCAATTTGTAATACTGAGTATTGCTTATCAGGAGAGAAAAGCACAAGACAATTATCACAAAGGTAGAAAATACTGGGGGTTACAACTGAAGTGTTTGTTTAGTTAACTGTAGCAATGGTTGAATCATTAACATTACATTATCTGCAGCAGCTTCATATATATTTTAACTGGAAGAAGTAGGATGACAATTTGTTGGAAGATAGGCCGTGTTAAGTCTAGCTATAAATATCTTAAATATAAACTATCCACCTATCACAATTTTATTCAACACTATAAATAGTCTTCAGTTTCCTTACACATTTTTAAAATTAAATCTTTAAAATATATTTCAAAGTAAGCCAACCTATTTAAAATTGGTAAACTTGTACCTTCACTTTTTAACTAGATGAAGTCTACATCTGATAAATAAATTCCAAAATATTTGTATTTAGTTATTTTTTGTTATTTACAGACTGCCTTTTTTTGCATATCCTAAAGTGACCAATACCGTACACTTAAACTAAACCCTGCTTTCCTTTAGATAAAAATCTTTCGTGTCCGTATTAGGAGTCCTAAGGCCACACGATGGCTCATATATGATAACAACATCAGGTATCCTATCCTCTTCCCTCCTTCCCCCCACTTCACCCCTCTCATCGCTACCCTGCCTCACACCTCTACCATTTCCTCCGCGGTACACATCCGAATCCCCACACCCGGCCGAGTTAGAAGAATTCCTCCCGACAACTCTTCCTTCCATGTTGGTGTCAAGAACAACAACCTCTTCGTACAGTTCCCACAGGGAGTCACTGTTACTCTTAACTTGTGGGGCCGAACTCTTACCTTTGAACCCACTATCACCACTGTCCGTGCTCTCTCTGCATTGGTTCTCATGCACTGAATCCTTATGAGAGCTAAACAACTGTGTGTCCTCATCTCCTTCAAGAGATGACAAAGACTGACTAGTTTGTGTTTGATTTTCTACGTCCGGCGCCGCGTGCGCTGCCAGACCTCTCCCCTCGATAATGTCAGACAATGTTTGATCCAGGTTTTCAGACTCCTTGAGCTCAGCGTCCAGCTCTTCGTCAGAGTTGTTACCCAGATAACTGTCCGTCATGACGCACCGCTTGCCACGGTTGCTGGATGCAAATGATAACTGCAACTGGAGCACCTGAAGCAGAACCAGTGGTAAAAATGTGATGATGGGGGGCCCAAGGTGAGAGTTATGATGATAGGCCCCTATTATAGAACCAGTGGTAAAAATGTGATGATGAGAGTTAGGATGAGAGGCCCCTATTATAGAACCAGTGGTAAAAATGTGATGATGAGAGTTAGGATGAGAGGCCCCTATTATAGAACCAGTGGTAAAAATGTGATGATGAGAGTTAGGATGAGAGGCCCCTATTATAGAACCAGTGGTAAAAATGTGATGATGAGAGTTAGGATGAGAGGCCCCTATTATAGAACCAGTGGTAAAAATGTGATGATGAGAGTTAGGATGAGAGGCCCCTATTATAGAACCAGTGGTAAAAATGTGATGATGAGAGTTAGGATAGGCCCCTATTATAGAACCAGTGGTAAAAATGTGATGATGGGGGGCCCAAGGTGAGAGTTAGGATGATAGGCCCCTATTATAGAACCAGTGGTAAAAATGTGATGATGGGGGGCCCAAGGTGAGAGTTATGATGAGAGGTCCCTTTATAGAGCCAGTTATAGAACCAGTAATAAAAATATGTGACTCTAGGGAAGGGGGGGGGGGGGGCATCAAGTTGTGAGTAAGGTTGATGAGTCCATCCGTGATAAAAGTAAAAAAGAAAGCAGTAGAAACGGTGGCATGTGGAATGTGAATGCATTTGACTATTAATAACTTATGCAATCTCTGTTACAAATTCAACAGCTTGTGGTTTGAAATGCATCATTGGAGAAATTAAAATATTTAAATTAAAAAAAAAGGGTACTGGTGGGCATTCTGAGGGACTAAAAATGTATTCAGAGGGTTGATGGGTATAACCTGGATGGCATGCTAAGAAACACAAAGTTATTGTACATTTTTTTAACCTAATAACCATTAGGGACAAATGGTGTAATGGCAGATATACATTTAATTCAGTAGCCTATCTCTTTTGAAACTTTATTTTCACTTTATTTTAATCATTATGTTAAGATAGTTTTACGTAAAGAGGGGCTTGATAAAAATATTCACATTTTGTTTTAAGTAGAAAGTATGAAAATAAAGATTTAATTTATTAATTAAATAAGACATTAATCATTAAACAGGTAGGTTCTGGCACACTTGATGTGAAAACACTAATAAATGTAAATATTTTTGTTTAAATGCATCTGTTTTATAGTGATCAAGATTTAAAAAAAAAACCTGAATAAGTTTAATCAATAAATGAGTGTTACTACCTATCACTATAAATATTAATAGAAATAAGTTAAGTCAATAATTAGGGAAACACTCAGACTATGCCACCTCATCTTGTAGATCATGAAGTTTGTTCTCCAGCTCCTGATTCTCTCCCTTGTCATGCAGCTGACCAGCAGCTAACAGCTCTTCTTTCTGAAAAGTTAAATTCCCACTCTATTATTTACACAGTGAATGTGGTAGTCCAATGTAAACAATGGCTCAAATTCTACCATGTACCCATAGGTTTAGTCCTGTGGGTACATGGTGAATAGACCACAGCAATAAGTAATTAATTGGATCTCCTGTTACAGGGTTCAAGTGCTCTAGTTTCAAAATATTTTAAAAGCTTAACTCATTCATTACATATCTATCACTTAAGAGCTGCCTGAATCATCAAAACTGTTAAAACATATGAGCCGACCCGCGGCCGAAATATAGTTGTTTTATTTTCTACTTTTCAGTCATGCATAACGTGTGAATTCGACAGTATCTACGCTGCCACTGAAAATATTTGCTTTAAAACACTATCATTAGGCTGTTAAGGACAATACCTCCTCCCACCCTCCTTTCCCCCAACCCCACACCCCCCCCCCCCCCCACCACCGTGAAAGCAGCCTCCTCTTAATTACCTCCCCTAAGTTTAAAATAGTTTCAAACTAAATTATCTGCCCCTAATAGGCGTCACTAAACCCGGCTCTACAATTGTAAACATTTAGCGTGAACCACAGCTCATCAGACCATGTGGGGGGTGTGCGATATGCCTAGAAAGAAAGAATCAGGAACTGCTAGGCGGGCTTACAGCTTGTTTTCTAACGTCTCCAAGAAGAGAATTATATATATAGATCCCTTTAGAATTACCAGAATCATCAAAATTGTTGATACATATCTATCATTCATGTAATTTTCCGTATTCATGATTAATGAGTAGTAAACATGCTGGGATAGGGGAATAAAAGCTGCTAATTGGTAGTTTTAACCAACCCTATCTTTTCATAGGTTGGGGGTAAAAAAGATCTTCCCTTTTTACCAGTAAGCCTGTAGAAATATGTTTTTAATCTACTTCAAAATCTTGAACATTAGACTGTACAGCATAACAACTTCAACAAACAGAACAAAATACACAGCACCACTGAAAAAAGATCATGTACCTCTACCACAAGAACCATACAAAATAGCACCACTGAAAAATGTCTATTTCAGCAATCTTGTGGTACTTGATAACCACCTCTCCCCAATATAACCAATCAACAAAAAAATAGCGCCCCAGGCTACCTAAATGTCTATCTCAGCAATCTTGTGGTACCTTATAACACCCCCCCCCCCCCTTACAACCAACAAAAAACCTAGCACCATTGACTACCTGTTTTATCTCACAACACCCCCCCCCCTTTCAACAAAGAAACAAAAAATAGTCACAACCATAAAATATAGCACCATTGACTACCTAAATTTAGACGGAGTGGTCTAGCGGTAGAGAGCTGGACTGCTAACCCGTAAGTCTCGAGTTCAAATCCAGGTTAAATCAGTAGACCCTCCCTGAGTTCACCCAACTGATGGGTACCTACCTCACATTAGGGAGAGTAAAGGCGACTGGGTATAGTGCAGACCACACTATCTATTCATATGCCGAGGTCACAGAAACAAGTGAACTCTACTTCACTTGCACTATAGACCGTCAGGTTTGAAAAGGGAACTACCTGAATGTCAATCTCAGCAATCTTGTGGTACCTTATAACCACCTCTCCGCAATATAACCAACCAACAAAAAATAGCACCCCAGGCTACCTGAATGTCTATCTCAGCAATCTTGTGCCTCAGCTCTGCCAACAGCTGGACATTCTCCGCCTCCTTGATCCTGGACATCATGGACTCCTCCCTCCTCTTACTCTCCGTGTCGTCCAGCTTCCTGGTCAGGTCTTTGATGTTGACCTTCAAATCTTTCTCCCTCTCAGCAGACTCCTCCAGCAGACGTTTCATTTCCTTGTTGTCTTCTCCCATCCGCCTGATCTGATTGGTGAAGATTTGATTCTAAAAATAGAATATTAAAAAAAAATTTAGAATTAGAATAATAAATAAGTTGTCTTTTATAACAGTATAAAACAAGTTATATATATTAATCATGTATATGTTTTTCAAACTGTGCTTTTGTATTCTTTAAAAAGAAAAACTAGCTAAAATGGATGCATAGGCCTACACATCTGTAAGTAGAGCTTGCAAAAAAAGAATGAGTAAACTAAAGGAAATTTTAAAATAAAACTAGATTAAAAAGTCAGTCAATAAACAATGTGCAAAAGGGGTTATCGCATTTACACAATTATTATCCAAATTGAGCTAACATATCCATTAAATAAAAAGTGTACATTTATTATTATTTTTTTTAATAACTGGTTGGGGATTTCTGAAAATAAATAAGCAGTAAAGCTACATCTCTGGAAAGTACCCTTTTGAACCTGACGGTCTATAGAGTTTGCCTGTTTCTGGAACAGCGAGATACAAAAGGAATAAAGTGGTCACCACAATGCACAATCTCCCAAATAGCTCTCTACCAAACCTATACATGTGCTGTGTAAATAGCATGAAGGTAAAGTCTCTTCACAAAAGAAGACTCCCCAACATGGCGCTGAAGTGGACTCCGTCTGGAAAGTGAAAGAGAGGAAGACAACTGGGAACATGGAGGAGAGAGATGGAAGAAGTGCAGGCTACTGGCAAGACCTGGCATGAATTCAAGTGGCTCGCCCAAGACAGAGTGGAATGGCGGAGATTTGTTGCTGCCGTATACTCCACAGGGAGTGATGAGGATTAAGTAAGTAAAGTCTCTTCAAACCTGTGTTTCAAGTTCCATCAACTTCTGTTTGGCATCCTTCAAGTCCCCAACTGCTCTGGCTTCCTTCAGCTTCAGGGCCATTATTTCTTCTTGAAGGTGCCTCAGTTCTGACTTGGTACTTTTTTCTTTTGGTGATGCCTGACGTACCCTCTCCATGTATGACTGTAACAGGTGACGTAACATGTACAATTTTACGGCAGTACAGAACTTGATTATTAAAGACAAAAAATATTACTGCTATATACACTAAATGACTTTGCCACAAACAACAAACATCACAGCCACATACACTAAATGTCTGTCACATACACTAAATGTCTGTCACATACACTAAATGTGTATCACATATCCATATATTACAGTTACATACACTAAATGTCTGTCACATATACTAAATGTCTATCACATACACTAAATGTCTATCGCATACACCACACAATACAGCCACACACATTAAATGTCAATCATATACACCACACATAGTTCATAACTTCGCCTGGGTAAAAGTTCATTAAATAAATATTTTGATAGTGACCAGTCTACATTTCTATCAAAAAAAAAAAAAAAAAAATTCATAAAGACAAATCCACAACTCACTTCCCAGTAGGTCTCAATCTCATTGACTTTCATGTGCAGCTCTTTCATGGACAAGTTGGCCTCAGCCTCCCTCAGTTTCACAGCTATCAACTCTTCTTGGAGTTGTTGGACATCATTGCTGGGTGCCCTCTGTAGCCGCAGGTTGGTCTGATACAACAATAAGAGTTGTTACTAAATGTTATTGTACAATAAATAGTAAAATTAAATCAAGTTCTTAATAACTCTAAGAAACGGCGTGGCCTAGTGGTAGGTCACTTAGAATCATCTTAATTTTTGTAAAACTCTATCAGTTATCAATTAAAAAAGTCTTTAGATTAAATCAGTAATATATTAACAAAATAATCCTTTAGAAACCCTTACATCCTCAAAGCTCTATCAATCATCTATTTAAAAAGTACAAATATTAAATCAGTAATGCATTAAGAAAAAAAAGACTTCAGAAACCATTAAAAATATATATATCTTACATCCTCTAAATCTGAGATCTTTAGCTTGAGCTCCTTGATGGTGCAGGCTGTCTCAGCTTCTCTCAACCTGACAGCAATCAGTTCCTCCTGTAGGTACTTCACCATGTTGCACTCCTCAGCCTCGTCCAGATGCACAGCATCTTCAATGATCCGGGTCTGGAAAAGTGGTTAACCCTTTATTGCACAAGACCACTTTAATAAAAGCAAACAGAAAATAGTTATAACAACCTGTTTACAACGACCTGTTTACAAATCTATCCGGGTCTAGAAAAGTAGTTAACCCTTTATTGCACAAGACCACTTTAATAAAAGCAAACAGAAAATAGTTATAACAACCTGTTTACAACGACCTGTTTACAAATCTATCCGGGTCTAGAAAAGTAGTTAACCCTTTATTGCACAAGACCACTTTAATAAAAGCAAACAGAAAATAGTTATAACAACCTGTTTACAACGACCTGTTTACAAATCTATCCGGGTCTAGAAAAGTAGTTAACCCTTTATTGCACAAGACCACTTTAATAAAACAAACAGAAAATAATTATCCAACAGAATGGTTGTCTACGACCTTTTTATAAATCTGATCATCATTGTTTACTTAGGCAGGTTGGAAAGTGTTACACGGCTGACTGCACTTACCCACTAGCAAATATCCCCAATAATATCTTCATACCAACTAAGAACCTCACCGGACAAGCTATAGATTTGAATCCCCAAGAGGAGAGGTATTAGGAAGGCCACAAACAAATTTGGAGAAGATCAATAGTCAATGAAATACAAACAGCTGAAATGTCGTGAACCCAACTTGAAGAAATTGACCAAAACCAAGTACCATGGAAAGGTGTGGTTGCGTCCCTTGGCTCCGCAAGGGGTTTACATGAATGATGATCATGATCAAGAATGTCACACAATCTGCATTTACCCTATTGCGGATATCCCCAATAATATCCTCAGCATCACAAAAATGTCACACTTACCCTCTTGCGGATATCACCAATAATATCCTCAGCATCACAAAATTTTCACACTTCCCTCTTGCGAATATCTCCAATAAAATCATCAGCATCACAAAAATGTCACACTTACCCTCTTGCGGATATCCCCAATTATATCCACAGCATCACACAAATGTCACACTTACCCTCTTGCGGATATCCCCAATAATATCCTCAGCATCCAGCAACTTCTTCTGTGTCTCCTGGAGCTGCTGCCTGGTGACGCTCAGCTCATTCCTCAGGGCATACGACTGCTCCACTTCCTGTGCCCACGTCACCTGGTCCTGCACTAGTTTGTCTGCTAGAGTTGCTGACTCCTGGCAGGAAAAACCAAATCATACAGGTTTTATTTTGATTTGATTACTTCCCTTTAAAAATTGTATGCATTTCAATAAAAAATGATTTTCAATTTATATATATGATTGAAAATTGGTACGTATTACATAACAATTGTTTAAATAATATTTTTGTTAAAATATATTTTTTTTAGAAAAAAACTGGTTGCTGAAGATTGAAACATGACATGATGAAAAAAAGCTGCACGAGAAATATTTTGTTAATTGACAAAAGCTTCCTGAACTGTTTAAATTAGGGTCTATGTTAAACTACAAATAGCGTTTATGTTTAATATTTTTTTAAGTATAGGAAAACACCAAGCACTAGAGTACACGTATTACATACTTTTAATAGTTCTACTTTGGGATTAAATTAATTCTAGGAATTCTACTATTTTGTTTATAGTTGGATTAAATAATAATAATCACAGCTTTGCGATGAATTAAATAGATCTAAATAAAACACATAACAAAGTAGACACACATGAGTTACGATAACACTGCCTTTTTTTCCAAACAGTAAGAAAATACCATATGCATAGAAAACGTAATTCTCAATTCTAACTCAACTTTTTAACAATATTAGCATTTAATTTTTCAGTGTAGATTTCTTAAACACAGATTTGATGTAATATAACGTGCATGTATGTTCCTGAAATATCAAGCATTTAATATAAGCACATGTAGCATTAGTAATTAAATACAGATGAATGTTGTATAATTGTTTAGGGTTAAAGTTATTCACATGTTAGTAATCACATTTACGGATATATGTCATCTTTAACAGTCGGAGCTAGATGGAGCATTTAACAGGTTGACCTAATGTAAGCTTTAGGATGGCAAAAATTTTGTTAAGTGAAAGAAAATGTGTGAATATTTTTTTAACTCTAATTCCACTGTGAGATAAAAAGTAATGAGCATAGATGGTTGGTTAGATGAGTTTGACTATTTAAATTGTGGGATGGTGTGTTTGCATTTCTATAGCAGTGACATGTTCACCAGACAATGACATGGATGTACACCTAGCAGTTACATGTACCCCAATAGGTGTGGTGTGGACATGTACACTTGGCAATGACATGTACACATTGCAGTAACATGTGCACCTTGTGTGGTGACATGTACACCTGGTTGTGACAGGTGTACACTGGGCAGTGACAAGTACACCTGGTGTGGTGACATGTACATATGGCAGTGACATGTACACCTAGTGGTGAAATGTGTACACCTGGTGTGTAGATGTACACTTGGCAATACCATGTACACATGACAGTGACATGTACACCTGGTATAGTGACATGTACACGTGGTGTGGTGACATGTACACCTGGTGTGGACATGTACACTTGGCAGTGACATGTACACCTGGTGTGGAGATGTACATCTGGCGATAACATGTACACCTGGTGGCAACCTGTACACCTGGTTGTTACGTGTAAACATGTTCATGTGTTTACATTTGCTCTAAGCTTCTTCTCCAACAGGCCAACCTTTGTTTAGATAGTTACTTTCACAACATGAAGTAAAGAAAAAAAATGTATTAAAAAACAAGCAAAATAAAGTTTGGGCAATCCATTGGAAAGGAAAGAAAAGCTTGCTTAGGGAATGGTGCTAGGTTTATAAATGCATTACAGACATTCCTTTTATGTGAAAAATAAGAAAAAAGATTAGGATAGCTGAGCAGGAAAAACTGACAGACATATGTGATGGGGGGGGGGGGGGGGGGGGGGGCAGAAGAGTGGAACCAGGGTGCTGGTATTGAAGTTAGAATAGGGTGAAGGTACTACTGGTGTCACTAACATTGATTTGGAAGATGCAAAATACTCTCCAAACATGCCATTCAATTAAATACTGAAAAGTGCTAGACTTGGACCACAGATGAATAGATATATAGTTACTCTAATACCTTTTATTGTATTTATTGGTGATGTAAAGTGATATGAGGTAAATATTTATCATGCATTATTTACTAAATTTATGAAAATGATTGAAAATTGGAAAAAGATACCAACTTTATTTTTTTTACAGTAATTAGAGAAAAAAAAACATGCATAACAAGAGAAACTGAGAGGTCGACCTTTAAATAGAAAATACTCAGCAAAATGGAAGAACAAAATCAACGGTACTGGTAAAAATATATTTTCTTTACATTAAATAAAAGTTGTTAATCATCCTTGTTAAATACTGACTATTGAGGTTAATATACAACAAGAAATGAAACTTAAAGGGGGAAAAAAATGACATTTCTACCAAAGGCCTTCAGCAGATAAAATGAGATTGACTACATAGCTTCAAGCAAGCAGTGCTTGAGGTACATATTTGACATGATGAGATAGTGGCAGACACTTAACCAGGTTGTAAAGGGCAACTCAAGTTGTATCAGTATTGACAGGTGTACTTAAGATATCTAAAAACAGTTTAGCAACATAATAATTTATAAAAAATGATACAAAATTATTTGAAACTCCAATAAGAGCTTATGTTTCTTAATTATGACCACTTTTTAAGATGTTATCAAACATGCTTACTAATATATAATACTTTAGATTTTAGTTATCTGATGAAAGCCTCCTAAAAAAATGTCAATGTGCTGATAAAAGTTAGGACTAAAATTAACTGAACTCTAATGATTTCTATCAAGGGAGAGCTAAATCAAGGGGCATAACCTAAAATAATTTAATGTTTCATTGACAAAATTGAATAATTTTAAACTGGGAACTAAGAAAAATAGGTATAAAAAAACCACTCTGGTGACTGTTTAAGAATTGAATAGATTCCACAGTACTCAACTCTGCTCAGTGAAATGTTAGAACAGATACTAGAATGCAGGTAAGCACCTACTGGCCAGATATACTTAGGATCTAGGCTTTAAGTGGTGGAGACTTGAACATGCCATTGTATAAAAATTACAGCACTGAACAGCATGCTTGTAGGATATACTGAGACATTACACTAAGTATTTAAAACAATATTTTTACATCTTTTATTAGCTGCTGAGAGAAGCAGAGGTAAAAAAAATTGTGTCGATTTTTTATTTTTTATTTTTGAACAAAACATAAACAAGGATATTTTTTTTAGGATAAATGCAACAAAAGTAAGAGGGGAAACAACTCACTTCTTTTTGACGAAGTAACTTCGCTTCAACCTTGATATTTAGGAAAAAGACAGAACGAAAGAGAGAGAGAGAAAGAAAGAATTTTTTTTTAATGAGAAAATATGACAAAATTTCAGGGGGCACCAAAATGATGAGAATACTTGTCACTGTCATTAGCTTCAGTTTCCTAAGAGTTCCTTAAAGTAACCCTATTCAACATCCCATAGAACATAAAAATATCAAAACAAGTTGACATTAGTTTTCTATTGCTGTTATTTTTTTTTTAAAGCATGATTTTGCAGCTTAGTGATAGTAAATTATCAGGCTAGTAATAATTTTAATAAAGTTTTTGTAGTCTTTTTATATTAAAGGCCTACTCAATTGTAGGCCCTTGTGATAGTTAAGAACAGATAGATTATCAAGTAAATATTTAATTAGAACCCTCATTTGTCATATTTATTATCAGCTGACCTTCTCGGAAGAGGTTGGGAAAAATTAAATAGTAATGAATCAATGTGACAGAAAAACAATCACAAACCTAACTATTGTGAAGTATTTGTATGTAAATGTACACTAGTGTCCTATCAAACAGTGTATGCAGTAACCATTTAGACAGATTAAAATGTAATCTTGCACACGCAAGGTCTTGTACAAATAAAGACTCTGATGACCCTAGACAAAGTGAGGATCCCTGTTCAGCTTACACATCAATATAGGTCAGTTTTTTCTGAAAGACATCAGGTGTGCTTAAGTAGGTTAGTTTAAATTACAAAGTAGGTCAGTATTAATGACAAGTTACAGATATATCAACATAGATCAGTATTACTAGCATATGATAGGCATACTAATATAGCTAAAATGTACTTTCAAATTAATTTTTAATTAAACTACTGAACTTTACCCTAAGAACTGTCCAGATTAAGCTGTGATTTAAATTGTTAATAATATAACCATTTACAGGGGTAATTATTGGCTGTGATCTCAGATTTGTTTGAAGCCGAAATATAGTGTGACAAGTATTTTCATCCAAATTCACAAAATAACTCTAAATATAAAACTGATTAAACATGTTAACAAATAATTGAAAAACTGTGTCAATATCAACAAATCTAAAGTAGTATGTAAAAAAAAGCTAAATTTAGATTCACTGTAATATAGTTAATTTATTATTTTATGTAGGTAGAGAGTATACTAGATATATGTACAAAGATAGATGAAGAACTTGAAGTTAAAGAAAAGTGTGTACATTATATTCTCTAATTAAATAGTAATATGCAGCATTGTGAGCAGCCTACACAGACTTAAAAGGCCTATTACTAAGGTTTGTAGTGGGGTTTTTTAGGATAACAATAGCCTAACATAGGCAAATTAACCATTTAACCACATCATTATCTAACAGAGAGGGTGTAAGCCTATAAACCACTCTTGTTCAAAAACATTTTTTTCAACACCTTTTCAACAATATTTGTCCAAAACTATATCCACTTAAAAAGTGTGGCTTATCAATGTTTTGAATGCAACAGACATAAAGTAAACTGGAAAATGAATACTAACCTTTTCCAAGTTTTCTATTCGCTGCCTTAAAAGTCTATTCTCAGTCCTTAATCGCTGCAATATTTAGGGAAAAAAAATTAAAAACACATAGAAGGCAGAAAAAACTGCATTCCATTGATGCAAATAAATGAAGAGTAATATATTATTATTAGTGTAATCATGATTATACTAATAATAATAACTACTGCCAGATGATATTTTAATAATATTAAAATACATTAATTAACAGATATTTTTATAATATGTATAGCTTGTTAACAAGTACTATTTCACCTACATAATTATACATGAACAACATAGAACCTAGTATTATATAATATTAGCCATACCCGCAGTTCAATTTGATCCTCATTTTCCTTTGTTTTCAATGCTGTATATTCTTTTTCCAATCTAAAATTCAAATTAGAAAAAACAAAACATTTTTTTTAGTATTGAATAAAACCTACATTTTTTTAAAATTCCAAATTACATGTGGTCTTGGAAACATACTTACTCTTCATCTAGATCCCCATCAAAATGTAAAAAATCCATTGAAATATTTTTCTAAAATTTCTAACATATTGACTACACTAGTCCAGTTTCATATATTTTCAATACAAAGTTTTCTCACACAATAACATGTGTTTAAAAAAAATGATCAGAAATATTCTTTAAACACCCTGTACATGTAACCACTTAGCAAAACTACACGGATACAGAACTATACACATCACTGCCTGACACATCTACAGTTTCACAGTCAGTAACCCAAGTAACAAGTCAGCTAAGTAAGAAAAACACTCATGTGAAGAATAAAGATTTCTAAATATTTATAGAGTGAATCAGGCTATCAAATTGTATACCACACATTTATTTAGAATATGATGCGAAAAATCAATAACACAACATTCCTATCTCATGATAATAAAACATTTGCTAAAGGAAAAAAAAGGAGAAAAGAAGATAATGAATTTGAAATCAGGGAATTCAAATAATCCTTTAGGAAACTCAGATATCTGATAACATGTATTTACAATAGAACATTATATAAGGAAATACTAGAAGGGTGGCCATTAAAAAAACAACATATAATGGAGTACAATATGGTTGCAGATTATTTGGCAGAGAAGATTAACTTTGAGTAACTAATCAGAAACCACTATTGGATGAGTGCACCCAGCAATGTTAAGACAGGCCAGGCAGAAAACTAAACTATTTTTTCATGATAGATTAAATTAATTATTTTTAATTTACAAAATAAATTACAGATACACTACACACATTTTTAAAATTTACCTAAGGACAAGTTTTTATTAGATTACCTATATTAATAATTATTTTATTTTAAGATATGTGCCTCTTTAAATGGTGGCTTTGTGAATATCTGTAGGATTAAACTGTATGTAAAACCGTGCAGTATTTGAATCATACCAATGATCACATGATCATACATGTGTAGACCACAGGGAAGATTACAAAGAAAATTTAACAAAAAAACAACAACAACAAAAAACCCAGTCATTTTGAATATTTTATACTTCTGTCCTTCCTGATTTTAAAAGGAAATCTAATTTAAATTTTCGCACGCCATGTAGAAAGAAAAAAAAAACTTTAGCTATTTCAGTTTTTAGTGAGACACACAAGTGAAACATCTGTTACACAATACACATTCAACCTGGAGCAAGTTGCCAAGTTGGATCTCAGACAAGACAAGAGTTTACCATCAGGTAGTCTGTGTTCATGTCATAATGATACAGGGTATAAACCTGTGCTAATTACTAATTTGCAATCAAGGGCTATCATAAATTTGAACAAACTGGCTTTACCTCTCAAACTGAAAAGATGACAGCTGGTCTGAAGAAATGCAAAATATGCTTTTGGTGGTTTTGACAGCCATTTTGTTTGAGCAAAGATTAGGGATGCTCAAGTTACTCACAGAGAATAGCAATGGTCTAGATAAACTCAGTAATATCGTGATGACTATGAGCTAATAGACCTTGACATGGTATTATAAAGAACATAACTAGACCAGACACACAAAATACCATCACAACTGGCGTAGCATTATAGAGAATGTAACTAGACCAGACACACAAAATACCATCATGACTGTTAGCTAACAGACTTTGGCATCGAATTATAGAGAACGTAACTAGATCAGACAGAAAATACCAGCAGGATTGTGAGCTAATAGACCTAGATTGCACTTGAAATACAGAGCATACATGTAAACCAGAGACATATAACTAGAACAGAGACATAAAATATGGTAATGTTGACTGATGTATAAGACCTTGAGGTACAGAACATAAATTAAAACCAGAGACACAAAATATGGTAATGTTGACTGATGTATAAGACCTTGAGGTACAGAACATATAACTAGGACAGAGACACAAAATATGGTCATGATGACTAATGTAATAGACCTTGGCCTTGACATATAGCAAAGAAAAACACCATCATGACTGGTGTAATAGACCTTGATGTATACAGTATTCAACTAGACCAAAGACAGTAAGACACAAAACACCATCAGGACTGTAAGCTAATAGACCTTGACTAACAGAATGCACATGGTACACATCAATTATGAAACAGGACATAAGGGGCCTACTTTAAAAAATGTAACAACTATGACAACTGTCAGCAATCACACATCAATCCACCAAAAGGTAAAACACTATAGTAAGAATTAATATTTAATGTCCAGATAAATATATGTGTGAGCAGTGTAAGTTTGAATCCCCTCCCCCCCCCACCTACTCTGTCCTTATATTGTGCTTTCATTCCCCCCCCCCCCCCCCCCAACAATGTAATGTTAAGTTTAATAAACCTCTGAAACAGATAAAGCTTTTCACAGTAGCAATCAATATCAAATGTAGTAGAATAGACTTTAGTGATGTTTTCATTAGGTAAAAACAAAGGCCTACACTATAACCCAGAATTTAGAAAAATGACAATTGTTTATAGAAAAGGAAAAGTAATCAAGCTCAAATGTACACAGTGATGTACACAGTCAGTGAGATCAAATGTACAGGTTCCAAAGGTCAGGCGAAACTTATCTTTGACCAGGGTACCACATGTGGTCAAGTCTTATCAGTGGTCTAAGCATTGAGTTGCCAGTTATTGACCAATCGAGAAATCCAACTAATTAATCAATAGCCTAATTATTTTAACACATGATACATACATACTATAATAAAATACAGAATTAATAATAATTAAGTTTCAATGAGAAAACTTATAATGTAATTGGAACTTTATGTGAAGGGGGGAAAGAATTAGATCATTTTTAAGAATATAGTCTTATAGACGGAAATATAAATCAACATAATGTGCAACTAGTAGATCTAGATCTAGATCTGGATTTAAACAGGTAAAGAATGCAAGCGCTACAAAAAAAAAAAGGATAAGGACAATTTAAAAAAAAAACGTAGGATGATAATGATAGAATGACAGCAGAAATGTCTCCTTGTTTTAGTAGGTCACCATTTTAAACCACAAGGAGACGGGTCAACGGTGTCAACCGACACGAGTTCTAACGCCTTACTCTCGACTACACACAAAACGATGCGATCGCAGCACCAAATAAGTAGGTCAAAGTTCATAGCCACGGCAACAGCAAGCATACGACAAAAATCTTAAGAGCGCCACACTACACAGCAGCGGTTGTAAACATCATCGCGACGCGGTAGATTAATATCTTTAATTAGGTCATCCTGACACGAATGTCCTCAGATGCGATCAATAAATAGCTACACACCGGCCCCTGAGAGAAAGGCGTGCGAACCTTTACTCGCTGATGTATGCTTTGTTGTATTGATTTATTAGCTAATCCACCCATTGGAATGTGAGACATCAATGGAAATCATTAGACTTTTTTTAAAAAGATGCTTCTAAAACTACTAAATCGGTAGGCCTATGTGACACCACACTAAGAAAAGAAACAGTATCTTCATAAAATTATAAACCTAAGCGTAAAATTTGTGACATCAATGAAAATCATTCGAATTCTTTTTTTAAACATATGCTTCTAAAACTACTAGATCGGTATATGACGACACACTAAGAAACGAAATAATATCTTCATAAAATTATAAACCTAAGCATAAAATTATTATAAAAGCACAGTCAACCCGTCTAGTGGGTAATTTCCAAAAAAAAATGCAAGTTTTTAAGTTCCATAACACCTGGACACTTTAATCTCACCAGTTAAATTAAAAATAAAAACAGTAAAGTAGACAATTTAAAGAAATAGAATTGACTAAAAAACAAATCTGCATGACTACTTATATAAAAAAAGTATGTTACAGACGTATCTATTTTTAGATATCGCCTAGGAGCCAACATCACTGCTCATACACTAAAACTGCAGACGATATAAAATACTGCCGCCACAAACGTCAGCACACCTAAGGTCGCCACACTAACAGACAACACCTGGTCTGCGTTAGGCGATTATCTATAAATAAAACCACACCGTTCTAATAAAACAATTAAACCACGTCTGCTTCGAATAATTATCAATCACACATGCTAAAAATAATCCCCCGGGAACGAGTTGAAGTAATGAATAATAGCTACACTATCGGATCAAAACACATGTCACTGTGTAATATACACACGGCGACTGAAGCGTGTCGCGAGAAATTACAGGAAATGTTGCACTTCACAGAGAAATAACAACAAGGTACGGCGAGTAGGTGTGTGTTTGACACATGTGTGTGGGGGCGGGGGAGGTAAACACAAGGGGGTTGTGTACAAGCTGACAGGAGAAGGGGGGATGGCGAGACGGTAGCAACTTGTTTAATGTCAAGGGTCATATTTCATCACATGTGAAAGGAATGGGGAGGAGGTGGAGGTGTGAAGTGGGTGTGACCGACGTATAGATCTACATATAAAAAAAAAGTAAATGAACTTGACCTTCACGCTGTTAACATAAAAAAAGTTTATTTCACTTTACGGTAAATTATTTCAGGTAATAGAGTCCTTGCAAACACGTGACCTAAATCACGTGATACCTACGCCCGCCGCCACAGTGGTGTACATCAGACGTAAACACAATCAGCTGTTCGCCAGCGCTGGACGTGTTCACCAGCACTGGACGTGTTCACCGTATGTAAAGAATCGCGCCCGCGGAAAAGGAAAAATATGTTAAAAAACTTGAACTCTTAGGAATTGAAGATCCTTATACAGTTATTGACAGTTTCGTGGATAATATAAATATGTGGCCGAAATTTCTAAATAAAAATACTGTTAGTAATACCGTTTGCGTTTAGAGTTTAAGTAGACGAAGCTGATCAAATGCAGTAATATATTAGAGGTTATCTACTGTAGCAAACGTGAGACCACTTAACTTCTACAAAACCCACACTTCAACGACTATCTAGCCCACAATAAAACCAAAGAGGAGTCTGCCCTGCCCTCCCCTGAAAATGTCTCACCTCCGTGATACCCAGCCCCACAGAGATAGTATTTCTTATATAATTTTGACCCTCAGGGCCCAGCAGGGAGAACAAAGGGGAAAGTCCCACTGCTCTCCCCTCAACACTTCTCATCTCGGTGTCATGTTATGTCATTTATAGCACACACGGCTTATCAGGGGAAAGCATTAAGGCATTAAGAATCTTAACTCTGGACAGCTACACACTAGTATACTAGCTACACACTAGGTGCCTACTGTAAACTACTAGACTGTAGGCCCTATGTAGACCTGCAATTGTATCAATTGTAGACTGGGTCCATTGTTATTATTCTAAACCATCTCACTTATAATGTTTCTAGCTTGATTTGTTTCTTTTATAAACAGTGGATTTAAAAAAAAATTTAGCCTAATCATTAACCAAATAATAATAATGTGGTTATTTGTTGTTGGCTGGTATGATCTAGATTGTACTACTAGGCTACAAAAACTTAGTAGACCAATTACTAGATATGAATTTGAATTTAATTAAACTCAGTCCAGTATCATATACATATTGCTGTAAAAAGACAACAAAATAGGTAGGCCTTAGTAATTTATTAAAGCCTTCTACTACAATAATATCAACTACATGCTTGTATAAAGTTTTTACAATTTAATTTAAGTAGCAGATTCTAGATCTAAGTCTAGTCATATAATCTATTTCAATTTCAGAAAATTTCGTTTGCTAAATAAATGATTAGATAATAGAGCGAGATTTTAGATCTTAGAGACAATTAAATGCTTTATTAGGCCTATTATGACTACTTTTGATTTATTATGGGTGTATTTTGAATCGAATGTAGATCTAAAGTAATTAAATTTAAGTAAAGAAGTAGATTCTAGATTCTATGTGTACCCAGCGGAGCCAGGTATTAGGCCTACTATTAGATCTTATTATTCTTATTATTACTTTTGACTTTGTCTTTTACTATTAGTATTTGTGAAGGTCGAGCATATTTGTTTTATTAATAGTTATCTTTTATAATTAAAATGAAGTTTATTATTTTACTGTCCTTACATGAAACAAAGTATCGAGAACTACATTTGATCAGATTCGGCTACTTTAACTCTAAACGCAAACAGTATTACTAACAGTATTTTTATTTAGAAATTTTGTCCACATATTTATTTATACGAAACTGTCAATAACAGTATAAGGATCTTCAATTCCTAAGAGTTCAAGTTTTTTAACGTATTTTTCCTTTTCCGCGGGTGCGGTTCTTTACATACAGTGAACGCGTTCAGCGCTGGTGAACACGTCCAGCGCTGGCGAACAGCTGATTGTGTTTACGTCTTGTGTACACCACTGTGGCGGCGGGCGTAGGTATCACGAACGGACGTGACGTCATATGAAAGGACTCTATAAAATGTAAACAGAGATCCCGCGTTTAACCAATCTGTCTCGCTGTCCTGTATTTACTGTAAACGTCTTGTTTTAACTCTCTCGGAATGTTTTATTCTTAAAGTCTATAGACATATAACATAAGGCTATTCATGGATGATTGAGAATACCGATGTCCAGTAATATATAGACTCTTCCGAAAATAGGTGTGTTAGGTTGTTAGTAGTATTGTAATCTGGACTAATTTTATGGTTAGGATATTCTATTATGCCATTAACGGACACTGGTAAAAAAAAACACAACTTATAAAAGGGCCACCCCCCCCCCCCCGTCTCTTCTGTCACCTGACTTCAACATAAGCCTATATCACAGACCTTGCATAATTTTCCCCAAGGAAAAAAACCCGATAATTTACATAACAACCCTACTAGGAAAAGTACTCAAATATAATAGAATACACCGTGTGGGTTAGCCCCAACAGAGGCCTGTCTACACACCACAAGACAAGCTACTGCACGGTACAGTAAACACGGCTACTGTTACTGTAGGTAGGGTGTCTCATTGCATTCCTGGGGGACACAAGGCAAAAAAAATCTAATAGGGCAAGGCAAGGCAAGGCAATCTCACAACAGGCAAGGCAATTCCCACAACCAAAAAACACAAGGCAAAAACACCAAATATGTCAAGGCAAACCACACAACCAAAGGATGGCTAATTTCTATTTTATTGTCACAATTTTGGGAAACAGCCCTTCAAATCCCTTAAAAAAAGAATTTAAAAATCGGAACATATTTCATCAAAGAAACATCTGCTAAGTAAAATAATGTTTCACTCTATATATAAAACAAACAGTAATTGAAAGTATGCTGTTTTATAAAAACAAAGATTTAGAGAGTAAAATATATAATCAATTTATGAACATAAAGAGGGGTGGGCATGGTCAAGTCAGTAAAACTAAACCGAAAAGTCTTGAGTTCGATCCCTACCAACACTAAAAATTAAGAATGAAGAAGAAGAAGATGAGCATAAAAAAACTTTTCTGGTTTAAGTAAACACCTCAGGTATATTCTCACACTAAAGATTTGAAATGAAAGTTGAAATTGTGAACAAATGACACAATGAATGATCTGAGAAAAAGGTGAAGAAAATTGTGCACCCCAGTAGGACAGAATCATCCAGGGAGGTGGTAGTGTGGTAATGTGGATCTATGATGATGTGCATCTGTGGTGATGTGTGTGGATCAGTGGTGATGTAGATTTGTGGTGATGTGTATCTGTGTTAATGTGGATCTCTGGTGATGTGGATCTGTGCTAATGTGGATCTGTGGTAATGTGGATTTGTGGTGATGTGGATTTGTGGTGATGTGGATTTGTGGTGATGTGCATCTGTGGTGATGTGCATTTGTGGCGAGGTGGATTTGTGGTGATGTGCATCTGTGGTGATGTGCATTTGTGGCGAGGTGGATTTGTGGTGATGTGCATCTGTGGTCATGTGGATTTGTGGTGATGTGGATTTGTGGTGGTGTGGATCTGTAGTGATGTGGATCTGTGTTAATGTGGATCTGTGTTAATGTGGATCTGTGTTAATGTGGATCTGTGTTAATGTGGATCTGTGGTAATGTGGATTTGTGGTGATGTGCACCTGTAGTGATGTGTGGATCTGTGTTAATGTGAATCTGTGCTAATGTGGATTTGTGGTGATGTGCATCAGTGGTAATGTCCTCACCAAAGCGTAATATTCAACATTTGAACAACACATTCATTTTGACATACAAAAGTCCAGCATAACACACTGATTAGACATCTCAGTATTTAATTTAGATTTATAAAATAAAGTATAATTTGAGTACAATATTTATTGGATTTAAGACAATGGTCATTTGGATATAGTTTCTAAGAAAAGCACATATAAAAGCAGTTCAAACACTAATGCCATCTTGTGCTATCACTGCCCTACCCAAGTAGACCTATTCAGTGAGACTATGTCAACCCAAACCTCAAAGTATCTGTATTACCTATTAGCTGTATCTTATCAATATGGAGCTAATCTCTACAAAAGACCCCTCCAACATGTGTGAACATTCATACAGGTAATAATCAAAGTGTTTTTCATTTTCATTACGAATAAAAACAAATTACTGTTTAATAACATTAGGAAAATTAATTATTAATTAAATTAAATATAACAATAATAATAGAACAGAATTATTATTAAGAGGGGTCAAGAAATATCTTAAGGTTTCTTATTTGTTTCTAAACTGCGGTGCAAGTTACACTGCATATTAGTGTAAAAAATAAACCTATTGGGTCATGCACAACTGAGATTAACCAGCTGCTAGTGTTTTATTATTAGAACAATAATCCCTACTTATTCATCACAGTCTTGCATGGATTATCATGGAAATGAAATAAATGAAATATTTTTTATTTATTTATTTTATAAAATTCTCTCCCTTGCTTTTCAATAAGGTCTCTTTATAAGGGAGGTAAAAAGATGACTTTCATTATATGCATCTTATTCTTCAGATTACCTGTATAACACTTTTAGAGGATTTGTTCCTTTGTGAGATAGGTCATACAAACAGTTCCCACTAGAATGCTAATATTGTGTTGTACAGTATAAATTATAGTTCACTTCAGTAAGAAGTATTTCCTTATCAATGTTAAACTTACATTATTGAAGAGAGAATAAAGTGACTTTTAATGGTTTAAAAATGGGTTGTATTTATTTCATGGTATAATCATTTAAATGTTTTTTTAATATGCAGTATGAATAGTTTTAATTTTTCAAAAAATACTTTTTTGTTTCTTTTTTTTTTTTTGCACTTTTCCATCTATATATCCATATAGAGGTGTTTCTCCCAGGTTTAAAAAAAAAACTACAATATAAGAAATTATTAAATTGGAACTCACTTTTTCATCTTCTTGTGGCTGTATTTGATGCTGTAGGCTGTGGTCAGCAGATTTTCCTGATCTTGCTCTTGTTCAAATCTGTTCCTGAGATCCTTTTGTAAGTACTGTAAATACAAGTGACAGGAAATAGAATTGGCTATACATATTTGGAGACCTAAAGTAAAGTTAGGGATCTACAATTCCCATACAAAAGAGATATTTGACATTATAACAATTTTGGCAGAACTATACAGCATTGTACCAAAGTTAGTTTTTTTGCTGTTTTTTTTTCAATGTAGGGTTAGGGTTGCAAAATTTCCAAAGCAAAAACCTTTGAACATGTAGTGCTAACATTATCACAAGTATCAAATGTAATCATTTTGAAGCTATAATTACATGGCAGCTAATACAGTCAATATGGAATGGTGTGGCTTAGCGGTAGAGTGCTAGACTGCTAACCAGTAGCTTTATCTCACCATAACCCTACCCCCCCCCCCCACAATAGCTTTACCTCACTATAACACTACCTTACTTTTCCTTTATCTCACCATACCCCCCCCACAGTAGCTTTACCTCTCTATAACCCTACCCCCCCAGAGTAGCTTTACCTAACTATAACCATACCCCGCCCCCCCACAGTAGCTTTACCTCTCTATAACCCTACCCCCCCCCCACAGTAGCTTTACCTCACTATAACCATACCCCCCCCACAGTAGCTTTACCTCACTATAACCATACCCCCCCCCACAGTAGCTTAACCTCACTATAACCATACCCCCCCCACAGTAGCTTTACCTCACTATAACCATACCCCCCCCACAGTAGCTTTACCTCACTATAACACTACCTTACTTTTCCTTTATCTCACCATACCCCCCACAGTAGCTTTACCTCTCTATAACCCTACCCCCCCACAGTAGCTTTACCTCACTATAACCCTACCCCCCCCCCCCCCACAGTAGCTTTACCTCACTATAACCATACCCCCCCCACCCCACAGTAGCTTTACCTCTCTATAACCATACCCCGCCCCCCACAGTAGCTTTACCTCTCTATAACCCTACCCCCCCCCCCCCCCACAGTAGCTTTACCTCACTATAACCATACCCCCCCCACCCCACAGTAGCTTTACCTCTCTATAATCCTACCCCCCCCCCCCCACAGTAGCTTTACCTCACTATAACACTACCTTACTTTTCCTTTATCTCACCATAACCCTACCCCACCACAGTAGCTTTACCTCACTATAACCCTACCCTACCTTTATCTCACCATAACCCTGACACAACACCTGTCCTATTAAGCCTATACAGCACAAGGACTTACCATCAACAATCCCTCCATATCAAGGGCAAGCAAGTCTTCTTGACATGACTGAAGTATTGCTATACCCACACGAAAAATCATCTCCATGCCCTACATGAATAAAAAAAACATAATACTCATTACATTTTTATTTTATATGTGTTGTGTGATATTGTGTTAAAGGTGTGAAGGACACTATGAAAAACTACAAAATAATATTTACAAAAACATTTTTTAGCATCTTATTATTAAACCAACTGCCAGAAAAAAATGACTACATAATAATTTACATTGACTCTGTAGGACCACTAAAAACGCCTAAAACAAAGTTCAAACCTACTACAAAAAAAAAAAGGCATAAATAAGAAGGTACCAAGCTCATCATTTCATAATAATTTACATTGACTCTTTAGGACCATTCACAACGCCTAAACAAAGTTCAAACCTACTATAAAAAAAGGCATTTCCCTGCTCAAGGCTAAATAAGAGCCAAGTTTATCAGTTCAACTTACACAGCTGTTTACTCAAAAGTGGTGATGACATTCACTAAACAAATTGGGTTTTATCTTCTGATGCTCCTAAGGGGTCATCCATTTATGACGTCCACAATTTTTTAAAATTTTGGACACCCCCCCACCCCCCCGCCCACAAAAATCCACTTTTTTTCCTTATAAAAGTCCATATGCGTCCACAAAAGTCAATTTTTTTTGGGACCCCCCCCCCCCCCCCCGTCCGCGTGTGGACGTCATAAATGGATGACCCCTAACCAAATATAACACTGACCCTTAGCCCCCTGTCACTAAACCTAACCCTAAAATAGTTTACCTCTGACACAAACAAATCCATGATCCTCCTAGCTAGAGACAAGGGGAGGGAAGTAACATACAAAGTCAGGAACCAGGATGAGGCATACATGGAGGTGTCAAAGTTCTGTGTCTGGAAGTGGATCAGCAAAGTTGGCAACAGTTCCTGGAAATAGATCAACATAGCACAAGGTCAAGCAGTAGAGTTAACCCAAACATATATCAACTTAGCAGGTGGTCAAGCAGTAGAGGTAAACCAAACATATCAACATGGTACAATGTGGTCAGCCCAAACATATATCAACCTGGGACAGTGTGGTCAAGCATTGAAGCTAATCCCAACATATATCAACATGGGATAGTGTGGTGGAGCATTAAAGTTAATCTAAACATATATCAACAAGGGACTGTCTGGTCAAGCAGTAGAGTTAATCCAAACATATATCAACATGGTACAATGTGGTCAGCCCAAATATATATCAACATGGGACAGTGTGGTCAAGCTGTATAGAGTTAACCCAACATATATCAACATTGGATGGTTTGGTCAGCCCAAACATATACCAACATGGGACAGTGTGCTCAAGCTGTATAGAGTTAACCCAACATATATCAACATTGGATGGTGTGGTCAGCCCAAACATATATCAACATGGGACAGTGTGGTCAAGCAGTAGAGTTAACCCAAACATATATCAACATGGTACAGTTGGGTCATTCCAAACATGTATCAACATGGTACAATGTGGTCAAGCAGTAAAATTATTATTTTTATTATTATTATTTATTATAATTAATTATTATATTATGTTTTACGAGCCGACCCGCGGCATATCATATGCCGCTATTAAGTTGTTTTATTTTCTACTTTTCAGTAATTTATAATTTGTGAATTCAACAGTACCAATGCTGCCATTGAAAATATTTGCTTTAAAACACTATCAGTAGGTCGTTAAGGATGATACTACTCCCACCCTCCTTTCCTCCAACCCCTACCCTACCCCCCCCCCCCCCCCGTGAAAGCAGCCTCCTCTTAGTTACCTCCCCTAAGTTTAAAATTGTTTAAAATTAAATTTATTTGCCCCTAATAGCCGTCACTAAACCCGGCTCTACAAGTGTAAACATTTAGCGTGAACCACAGCTCACCAGCGCTTACAGCTTGGTGTTTTCTAGCGTCTCCAAGAAGAGAATTATATATATAGATAATATTATTATACAAATGTATTGATAAGAGTGTGGTATGGCTAACCCAACTGTTCTCACAATTCTTTGAAGCATTACCTGCATGAGACACTCCAGTTTAAACATACAAAGACCCAGTTCAGCCATGCTTGGTTTAAACAATTCCCTCAGCCTGAAGTCTTGCATCAAGCGAACAAGCACGGCAAATGCGTCTTCCTCTGGCATCTTGGGTTCATAAAGAAAAAAATATTTTATTTGTTTCTTTTGATTATAAAGGATTAATAATTATGTATTTCAGATATTATTGCTAATTAATAAAGCATTAAGAATAAAGAAAATATGGGACGGCGTGGCTTTGCAATAGAGCGCTAGACTGCCAACCTGTGTTCCCTCTAAGCTGCGCGGTTGCGCGGCCACGCAGTAGTTTTGAACCTACCGTGCAGTGCTTTTGTAAAATAAAATATATCCTTGTATAAGACTTTTAGAACACTGTGTACACAAAATACATGTTGCACACGAGCTTTTTCCCCATAGAGGGAATGTTGCTGCCAACCCAAAAGTCTGGAATTCAAATCCATGTTCAAGTCAGTGGAATGCCCCTGACTGAGTCCAACCAGCTCCTATGGGTACCTAACTCACATTAGATAAAATAAAGGTGGCCGGACATAGTGTTGACCACACTATTCCTTCATATCCCAAGATCACTGAAACAGATGAACTCTACTTCATCTGCCCCATGTGTCTTGGGCACAAACAGGAGAAAGAATAGAGACCTGGCTTCTAATGGTGAAGAGTAAAGGCAGCTAAAATTGACCCCACTATCCCTTCAAATACAGAGATCATAGTAATCAATTAACTTTCGTTCATCTACCTTATTACCTTGATATCCAAAAGGGTAACTTTACTTTTTGTTGTGATAAAGAAAAAACCTTCTAAAGTGAGGTTAAAGACTTGAAAATAGTTATTACAGAAGATCAAAAAATTATTTACAGATAGTTTCAAAGTTAAGTTAACCTAAATGAGTTTATAGGTATCCTAATTGGTAGAACACCATTTCACAACCGCATCGAACTACAAGACATTTTTTTTTTAAAATGCTTGAGAAATTAAAACAAATCTTTACCTGCATAAGTAACAAGCCAACAATAAAACCACTGCCTTGACAGTAACCAACTTCTCGGTCATGCAATGAGTAGGCCTGGAGAAAGGGAAACAATGCATTTATGAATTGGCAGCCAAGAAAGAAAAAAAAACACCAGTAAGGGAGATAAGTCATTGATAAAATAAATGTAAACAGAGACCATAATAAAATGAAATACTGCTTTGAAAACATGTTAAAAACTTTAAAATGGAATAACCATACAAGCTTCACCAGTCATTACCACTATTTTAGATAGATAAATAAAAATCGCTTTGCTACCATGGTAATTTGCACACAGGTCATTCAGAGGTAGAGATGTAATTGGGTTAGTAATGTATATTATTTACATTTATTAAATTTTTAATTGGGGATGGGTGAGGGTAATGATGGATGGGGGAAGGGGGTAATCTCTGAGAAGCATGAAAATGTCCTAGACCCAACTCCTGTAAAGGTAAAAATAGATCTTCCTCAATGGTTAAACTAAAATCTACCAACCCACTACATGCCAGCCACTTACTTTCATGACATTAAATAAACTCTCCTGACCAAAACCGTCTTTCACTTTGAAAAACTCATGATCAGGAAACGTCCGTGCTATATCTCTGCGTATCAGCTTCTCGCAAGGTGAGGTCTTCTTCATATGTTCTGCGTACTCCTGTTTGAAGGGCGAGTCGTGGACACCGAGGATCAGCTGCCAGGCCATGCCTCGAAACTCATGGGGGATTCCCTTTCTCACCAGCTCCTACAAAAATATTTAAGTGTTCTTTACGGTATCATGGGATGCGTAGGTTAAATGGTAATGTTAGTTTGCTAACCTGAAAGTTTGAATCTGGGTCCAAGTCAGCAGAACATCCCTGAGTCCACCCAGTTCTGATGGGTACTTAACTTAATGTTAGGGAAAGTAGAGACGGCATTTAAGTGTTCTTTATGGTATCATGGGATGCGTGGCTTAAATGGTAGTGTTAGTTTGCTAACCCAAAAGTCTCGAGTTCGAATCCGGGTTCAAGTCAGCAGAACATCCCTGAGTCCACCCAGCTCTGATGAGTACTTAACTCAATGTTAGGGAATGTAAAGACGGCTTGGCAAAGTGCTGACCACACCTTCCCTTCACATGTTGAGGTCAAGAAACATATAAACTCTACTTCATCTGCCTAATGGGTCTAAGAGAATTCTTTACTTTGTTATTAAGAAAAGGAAATGAACAGTTTATTTATAAGAATTGTGCGTAATCTGCCTATACTGTCACATAGGAACAACCAAGGAAATATCCAACACAAAACAAGCCAAGAGTTACAGCGAAAGAGATACAAAAAAAAGATATTTCTGATTTAAACATCTATGTGTATTGTTATAATGCTTGACATCCAACAAGTTTTGCTGCTCATTCGAAATAAACAGACATAATGATACAAGTAAACACAAACCTTGAGAAAAGCTGGTTTCTTTTTGACTGAGTCCCAATCATTGATGATCCTACCCCAGACCTCCCATAAGGTTTCACTTGAAGAACCTAATGAAGCAAGGAATAACATACAAAATTTCATTTTTCTTTTACAAGAAACAGAACTAAACAACAAAAAGCAATATACAAGTGTAAATCTTCATTGCTTTAACTTAAAAAAAAAATATTATTAAAAAATATGTTAGTAGTTAAAAGTATTATTATATATTGTCCATAAAACATGTTCTTATAGTTTAAAAAGCATTAATATGCCCATAAAATAACTTATATATTTTAAGTTATCTAATAAATATAATAATAGATTTGTAATATTAAAATAATTTTAATTTAGAAAATAATAGTTTTGTTCAAATTTGAAATTAACTTTATATCACAGTAATTAGTTTGAACAGTATAAAAGTACAAAACCTGATATTTGCCAAGGACAAAGGAATGTAATGTTTATGTAATAGTGGATAAGCAAAAGGTCAACACTTTGGCCAGTAATGAACTATTGACCTGCACATTATCTTCTTGCTCTATGATAAGACATTGGTCACTTTAGAACAGCCGTTATTTGATTACAACTAAACTGATATGGCTAGATAAAGTTAAGATCATTTTTCCAATTACACTGTTAATTATATTTAGGTGGTAATTTGAGAAGTTTGATTAAAAATGGAACGAGCAACCAAAAAGTGAGACTAGCATGATTTGGTGTGTACGTGGACGGTGTATTGATTTTCTGCTGTCGCATGCAATCCAAGGTTTCATTCAGTGTGACAATTATTATGTGTAAAAATAATAATTAAACTATGTTTATAACAAATTAATACACAATTGCTTAAAGCATGCGAGTATTTGCAAATGGATTTATATTTAATGTCTGTCAAAACTCCCATAACAGCACAGTTTAACTTTTTCAAAAGTTTAATAAACCATCTTAGTCATATAACATTAATGGGCACTCTAATTATCATCTTGGTTAAAGCTAACTTTAGTAAATATCATAATTAGCATGCCTGATTGAAGTTTGCACATGTTAACTTAATTATACTAAAGCAAATCAATAATTCCATGCCATTATTCCACAAAAATATTATTCTGTTTTCATGGTTCAATTTGCAAAGACTAATAATAAAAATAATTTAATATACGCACATTACACTTACACACAATATTACTTTAAATTGAATACTTTATTACATGAATATGTAAGTTACAAGTCATATAAGTATAAGTACATTATATATATATATATATATATATATATATATATATATATATATATATATATATATATATATATATATATATATATATCATATGTTGTATTAGGTTGTATTAATACATAAATATTGTAAGAAATCAATCTCTATAAGCTGGTATACAAAGTTAAATCAGTGACTCCCAACATGGTATGCAAAACCCCAACTTTTTTTGTAAGAAACAAAGAAAAAACAAGATGCTGGCAAAAGAAAAAAAAGTGAAATGCTTTCATTTCTTTTGTAAATTTCATTCACTTTAATTTGCTTTTTTTTTTAATCCTAACTGTGATCAAACTTTGGAATCAAACGTAATGTTTACCAAGAAAAGATACATAATAAAAGTGTCATTTAAGATGACCTAAAATACTCTTGAAATAGCCTCTTAAAAAAACTGGATATAAAAACATAAGGTACCTGTAAATCTTTTTAAGTAATTAAAAATAAGATTTTTGCTCTTGTGAAAAAAGAAAAGCTTTGATCTGTATTTATAATTGAAAGTGTTTAACTTGAAAATGCTGATGATTGAATCTGGGAGCTGTGAAGATTTGTATCTTTGATTTGAAAATAACCTGGGGAGTCACTTAGCTAGTCTAAAAGCAAGTATTTAAATAAATATATAGATATAGGGCTGGTAAGTAGGTCAATAAACAGTTCTATGGCTCATGCAGGTTTTAGTGAGCCGTAGAACTGGTTGGTGACCTACTTACCAGCCCTATAGAACAAGAGCAGAGAAACCTGGTTAACTTTTTATTCTATTTTTTTTTTATTAAACCAGAAAATAGTAGATTAACATTTGGTAGTATGCTGAAGTTGAAAATTTTTTTTTCTTAAACTAATAAGGAAAAGGGAAGGAGGGGCTGAGGGGTTGCAAAACAAGTCTTCCCCTGTGTATAAACAGGGATAATAATAAGGATAATTAAGGAATTAAGTCTACCCCAGATAGAAAAAAGTGTGACCATCTTATTGACTATTTCAAAATTCCTTGTTCTGCTTTGAAAAAAAAAAATTTACCTATTCCTTTTATTGTTCTTTTTACTATTAAAATGTACAACCAAAAAAAAGAGCTAAAAATTTGAGAATATGAAAAAAAATACAATTTAACAGATTAAATAACAATAACTTCCATCATTTGGAATGTCAAATTAGGTACAATTGAGTTTATTTAACATCAGTTAATCTAGAGTCTGAAGCATTAATTAGGGGCAGAAAGTAAATTTTCATATAAGATTACATTGTAGGGGTGTAACTAATGTTTGCATCTGGAAGCAAGCAGTTGGTCATACCAAGCAAGGGTGGCATGAAATTCAAATTACCCAAGAACACATCATCTGTCAAATCAATATTTTGGTCTGGCGAGCCCAAATTGTTCTGGCTAGTCTGGAGGGATCCTCTTCTTCCTTGAGACATCCTCTTTTTGCTGTCAGTATCATCAGAGCCCTTACCTAAAACTTGCCTATTACCTTTATTACCGAAACTCAGGGGTTTTATTTTAAAAGATTTTCTTCCTTGGGCCAGACTTGCATCTAGATTATACAATACTGATACTAGTTCATTCAGTCATTTGAATTCTTAAACTGGGAGAAACTAATTAATTAAACAGACTGTTTATATGATTTTAGTTTCACTACTTTTTTAAAAAATCTTTTCATATATAGGTTAACATCATGATTTACTTTTTCTGTAATTAAAGATACTTAGGCTTTTTGACAAACTCATAATTATGATCTATTTATGTCCGATAAAAACTCAAACATTTATATCTATTAAGAAATGTGTGTCCACATTTAGCATTTTTTCAAGGCATTTAAAGGAATTATTTAAATGTTAGATTATCTGAATGATCCTATCTAGAATAAGCAAACTTGTGTTTTTAAAAATATTGTTACAAATAAAGTGTTGGAGATTCAATCTTAAAAAAAACAGCATAAAAGGATGAATTGTTTGCCTAATTTAAAATGTGATAAACTGATCTTTACAATAATAATATTTATCCCAAACATTTAATTTTTAAGGCCAATAATTGGTACAAGCATTTGCGCCAATTATAAGATAATAATCAAGCATAAGCTAAAATACAAAATTTAAAATAAAAGCAAAGACTTATCAGAAAATAATATTCTAAAAAAAAAACAATAAAAAATTTTCTGGTTCAGTTTAATGTGTAATGTTTGTCCACCATAATATTTGTTCTCAAGTCATATTTAGTAGTGCACTATTTTCTGAATTTAGTTTATCAAATCATACAAATATGCAATAGAACCAAGCACTTCATAGTAATTTATATTGCACAATAATAAATGGGAAGCTACTCTGATTTTTTTTAAATAACCTTTAGAGCTTCTAGTTTTGTTATTATTACTTGTTACAAAAACTAAGTAGCCACAAACACAGGTGGTGTACTATTTTCTTCTAAATTTATTTTATTAAATTACACAACTATACAATGAAACCAAAAGCTTCATAATACTACGGAAGCTACTCTAAAAAATTTTAAAAAGACATTTAGAATTTCAAGTTCTATTATTATAGTTAATCAAGAAAACAATAAGTAACAACTAAAACTTTAATAACTACTGATTCGCAATAGTAAACTAGGGAAGGTTTAAAACGTTACATGAGAAGACTTACTTTCGTCAGCTTCATTTGAGTTTTGAGGACTGTAGAAGCTGTTGGAGGATGTGCTGGAGACTATACTAGAGCCAGAGCCCTTCCTTGAGTGGCCAGGTGTGGTGGAGAAGGCAGCCCTCACCACGTGAGATTTCTCATCTGCTTCTAGCATGCTGTAATGATCAAACATGCATAAAAGCAATTTTAAAACACATGTTTTATGCCATCAAAAAGCCACAATTGGCCTTATGGCAGTAAGAATACAGCCTTTGTAATCTGATCAAATAAATTAATTTAATTGACCAAACATAATAAAAATGTTAACAAACCCGACTGATCAAATAAATTAATTTTGCTGACCAAAGATAATACAAAAAATTAAGAAAACCCACTAATCAAATAAATTAATTTAGCTGACCAAACATTATAAAAAAATTAACAAAACCGACTGATCAAATAAATTAATTTAGCTGATCAAAGAGAATTAAAAAATTAACAAATCCGACTGATCAAATAAATTAATTTAGCTGACCAAAGATAATAAAACAATTAACAAACTCAACTGATCAAATAAATTAATTTAGCTGACCAAAGATAATTTTAAAAATTAACAAACCGGTTAGCCTCCTCCAATTTCTGCAAGAGCTCCTCTTCTGTCGGCTTCCTCGCCTCACCAGTGCCATCTCCTACAAAAGGTAACCGACCATGTAAACAGCTAATACATGACATAACTAAAAACATGCAGAAAACTTAATGAAATAGGATGTATAATATAGGGGAAAAAATATGTGTGTGTATATATATATATATATATATATATATATATATATATATATATATATATATATATATATATATATATATATATGTTACGATCAAAGCCCGAAGTGCGGCCAAACCCTGGATTGGCCGGCCAATCCGCGCATTGGCCGGCTCTCTTGGCCAAAGCCCGAAGAACTTAGCAATTAGATCGTATTTCGTACATTGGCCGGCCAATGCGCGCACTGGCCGGGACGTACTGGCCAAAGTCCGAAGCGCTTAAACTTGACAGCGTATTTTGTACATGGCCGGCCAATGCGCGCACTGGCCGGGATGTCCTGGCCAATGTTCTATCTAGACTAAGTTGTGATCGCATTTTCATTATTCTGGGTGCGTTTTCATTGAGAGTAACGTATTGTTTAGCTCTTGTTCGTATAGCATTCTATATGCAAGTCGACATGGATCAAAAAGGCAGTCAGACCATGAGACAGACATAGCAGATGGCTGTCAAAAGAAAAAAGTGTAAATCCATGTTAGTTTCCATATATCGGCTCTCGATAAAATAGTTACTGAGGAAGATCTTGAGAACATTGGACAAGAAATGGAGGTTGCCATAAATGCAACGACATTCTCAGCTAACACATCTACTGGCATGGCAGAACACCCAGACCAGTTAAGTGAAAATAATGTGGCCAACAGATTCTATATAGTTTGTGAAAAATATTGTAGTGCAGCTCATTCTTTTGGATCCTGTGGCAACGATGTCCATGCTATTTGTGGAATACCTAATGAAGCAGACGAAGGGTACGGAGGGAACATTACCTGCAGATTGTGTCACAACAAACAAGACATCATGGAACACAGATCAGCAGCTCATACTGGCTTGCAAACTCAAGGTGCTAAGATGCTTAAAACATCAAATACAAAATTTAAAGATGGTGAAGTGGGTTACAATGTACGCATCCGTTTTCCAGATGTTGACAGAGGTCACGGTGATCCCGGAAGCGTGATTGCAGTTGTCATGAGCGTCGAGGGCGGTTTCTACAAATTAGGAACGGAACATGGTGTTCTAAAACAACTGTATGCTAGTAGTGAGTTTTCAATTCTTTACGAAAAACTGCTCTTATTGTCGTCAGTTGACACTGAGGAAAATTCACTACGAACCATCGCATCTTCAAAATCATTGACTGGGGGCCAAGGCTACACTCGCTGCAATTGCACAACTAAGTGCACAACAAATCGCTGCAAGTGTAAAAATAACAAGCTGCTATATCATTCTAAATGCCATAAAAGTTCAACTTGTTGTAACAAATGATGATATTGATAGATTGAGACTATAGTACAATAAAAAATTTGAATGTTTCTGTCAATTACTTTAATTAATAATCAATAAAGACTTAATTTAATGATCCTTACGGCATAAAAAAAAAAAAAATCTGCTCATGATCTTCTAATTCGGACTTTGGCCGGTCGTCCCTAACCAGACGATCTTCTAATTAAGAGCAAAGTTTCGGACTTTGACCGACCTATGGGAGGCGATATTGGCCAATGCGCGGATTGGCTGGCCAATCCTAGCCGACTTCGGGCTTTGACCGTAACATATATATATATATACATATATATATATATACATATATATATATATATATATATATATATATATATATATATATATATATATATATATATATATATATAGCCAGATTGATATCGAAAATTTTTTTTATTTACTAAAGTGAACATGGATTATTGAAAACAAAAGTGTCATTTTCTTTATTATAACAGAAACAATGATGAAAATAGCAGATTAGACTATCATTTTCTTTTAGTAATCACTTAATAGGAATAATGTGTTCATGGTTATTTAAGGATAGGTATCACCCCATTTTCTTCATTAAACACAAAAAAATCGAGTACAAGTTAACCTACCATCTCCTTTAGCATCCATTGGCAAGTTTGCAACAACAATGCCGACAGTGGGAGAGGGAAAGTTCTGGTTCAAGTCTTTGTCCTGTCCATTCAGCATCACACCTTTCTTCAGGTGAGCAGAAGGACTGTGGGATGTCTGGGCAAGGTCCCCACAGGCAGCAGATCTGCGGCTGTTGTCATCACTAGCCGGAGAGTGGTTAGCACGTCCATCCATAGCGACAGACACCTGTGGGCTCTACGCTGCCGACTACTTGCTTACTTGTCATGTCCATTAAAAATTCTAAAAAAAAAATAGAAATTTTTTTTTTTGCTTACTTGCCCTATCCATTAAAAATTCTAAAAAAAAAATAGAAATTTTTTTTTTGCTTACTTGTCATATCCATTAAAAATTCTAAACAAAAAAAATTGAATTTTTTTTTTTAATTTCTGCCTACAAGCTAGGTGACAATATTGAATATGAAAATAATATTACAACTTTAAAATTCCTTTCTGCGGTGTAGCTAATAAAATGCTAAATTATAACAAACAAAACCATGCAAACTGTATTTGTTAAAGTCAGCAGAAATGCATGCACAGACCACATTTTTATAGGAAAAAATAAACAGCTAAGAACTATGAAAATAAAAACATGTAGCTATGAATAGTCACTGATACTTTGGAAATCAGTGAAACAATAGCTCTACTGTATAAGTTAAAAAAACTTTAGGTAAAAATAAACTTTACAATGTACTACATAATTAAAACACATTTCAGAGTATGAGGGAATTGTACAAATCAATTCCACTTCTAACATATGAAGTATACAAACCAGAAGTTTTCCAGTGAGAAAAAATAATCAACTAAAAACATAGTATCCATAACACACTATAGAACACTCGTTCATTTAGAGTAAGAGTAAAAAAGAAAAAGACTTACAGACTGCTCTGCCCCCTATCCTCCCAAATAAACAAACCGGTAATAAAACCCACAATCCCCAAATAAACACAACAGACACTACCTTCCCCCCACCCACCCCTACGGTACACAGCCATTGTTTATGTTTAGGATAAAGAGAGCAACAGCATTGTCCAGGAGATAAAACTCTGTTGTCCCTCTACTTTAGTGATGAGCAGTGGTGAAACAGGGATAGGATATGTGTTCAACAAGATAAGGACTTGGTCTATGTACTATATGAGATAGCAGTGTTGTGTATTACAAGGACATAGGTGAACCATCTAAGCTAGATGGTAAGGGGATGCAACTGCGCATAATAACATAACAAGTTAATTACAAAGTAAGCAAGAAAAAAAAAACACTACTTAGTACCACACAAGTATAGATGAACCACTTCAGATTGATGTAAGGGAAGCAACTACTCATAATTTAAAAAATAGGTTAATAGAAATAGGCAATCTGTGTTTTAATAAGTCAAGTAAAAACCTGAGAAAAAAAATTAGCAATACCGACTGCTCAACTTTTAATATAAAAATGTTTAACAGGAATTTCTAGCATGAAAATGCAGCTAACATAACCTATCAAGAAAAACAATTGATAAATTGCAAAAGTTTTAATTCCAGGAAGCATACAACTGGATAATTAAATAAACATTTGAGGTGCTTTAATTTTTACTTGACAATTAATGTTTGATTATAACAATACAGAATTAACTGTTTTTTCTCATGCAAATAAAGTAAAACTGAAACCCACAGATCTAAACTTTGCTCCAGTGTTTCTTTCAGGAAGCTCCTATTTGAGGGGAGGGGGAAGAAAGAAGAAATCTGTAATTAATCTACAAAGACAATAGATACTTTAACCCGGTCCATGCCCCACCCCAGAAAAAAAAATCCAAAATAAACCCTGCTTAGAACGCTTGCTTTACAATCAGTAGTCAAAAGTCATAGTTCAAGTTTCTGTATTAAAAACAACTTTCTAGTATAAACCTGAATAAGGGAAGGAAGAGACTGTCCTTGAGTGAACTCAACAAACTGTCATTTTAACATTGAACCAGGATATTTAATCTGAAACCCAATGTCTTTGTCATTCACGTTAAATGTGTATTGACTGACAATTATTTGAGTTCAATGAAAGACTTTAAAACTGGAGGCTTTAGGTAGAACATATCCCTAAGAAAAAAGAAAACGGGGTTTAGCCTAGGGAACACCTTGAGATGTCCTGGATATCGTCAGGATGCTACATTCATTTAAATGCTGTTATAAATCGTCTAGAATTAAGATGTTGACAATGTCAGTCCCTGAGTCCACCCAGCTTCGATGGGTACCCAAATCACTTTAGGTGTCGTGCATAGAGCTGACCACAGTATCCCTTCATATTCCGAAGTCAGAGAAAAAGCTGAACTTTACTTAACTTGCTCAATAGAATGTCAGGTTTGAAAAGGGAACTTAACTGTTATTATCAGTTCTTGTAAGTAAAAATGCTGGCAGGTCTTAATAAAGTACAGCTTCAAGCTTTTCTTTTTGTTGGGTCAAAGTTAGGGTCAGATTGAGTTTAGAAGTAGGGACATGGTTATACTAGTGAGACTAGGTTGCTTTGTATATGTCCAGATGATGCTTTTTAATACCTGAGGTAACCAGGTATGTTACGGTTAGACTGCGTTAAGATATAGGGTCATGGTTATACTAGTGAGACTAGCTTGCTCTGAATGTCCAGATGATTTATAATACCTAAGGTAACCCGGTATGTTACTGAAGTCAGTTACATTAAAATTTTTAAAGAGGAGTTGGATTTACTAAGATTATGAATGATTAACAGTTAAAATCACATCAAAGCCTTCCTAAGATCTAAAGACAAATAAGATCCTTCAGATACTAAAATTGATTTCACAAACCACAAAGGTTTGGAAAATAAAACATCAAACAAATATGTGACAAATTTTTTGATATACTGAGTCAAAAAATAAGCGAATAGGATGTCTCTCTAACAATGTAAAACATAAAGAGACAAAACAGTAGTAAATATAACAATATAAATTTTAGTTTGAAACATATTTGAAAACAAATAAAATTACTCATAATTATTATAAAGAAATGAAGATGACAAAATCACAAGTGAATGATTTATTTCCTAGATAGAGCCAATCAAGAATAATAATCATACATCCAGGAAATGAGAAAGGCATTGGTATAGTTGTTATATTAAAAATATATTCTGAAGTGGTTGTTATGTTAAAAATTGTAAATAGTGAATAGCCCGTTTTATATTTCAGCCTAAAACAACAAGGCTTAAGTAAAGTTCAAAGTTATAACCTCGACATAAATTCATAAATATCTGATGCTGAACCCAAATAGCAAAACAGTAAGCTCTCTGTATTTAATACAATACTCTTGAGTGTTAACTGAAGAATATGTTCTGAAAATAATGCTCAGTATTATTCATACTATGTGTTCCACAGGTAAAAACGAACCTGTGTAGTTAAAATGTTTGAAGCAACACAGTAATGGACACAGTGAGTGGTACCCAATGCATCAAATGATGACAAGACTATATACAGCCTATGTTTGATTGAGGTTTAGCCCTAATCAGTAAACATTCTGATGTGTCATAGAATCCATCTTACTGGCTTCAATCAAATAGACATCCTTCTTATAAGAGTTGTTACCTAACATTTATTAATGCAAATCTGTGGTATGTTAATTAGAATTGTTACCTACCTAACATATTAATGCAAATCTGTGGTATTTTCATAAGAATTGTTACATAATAATAATAATGCAAATCTGTGGTACTTTCATAAGAAATTTTACCTAACTAACAAAATATTTAAATAATGCAAATATGTGGTATTTTCATAAGAATTGTTACCTACTTAACATAATAATGTAAATCTGTGGTATTTTCATAAGAATTGTTACCCACCTAACATAATAATGCAAATCTGTGGTATTTTCATAAGAACTGTTACTTAAAATAATAATGTAAATTAGTGGGTGGTTAAAAAATAATAAATCACTATGATCACCCTCTTTAGTTCGGTCACTATTCATATATAAAATAAGTATTTGTTAATGTTAAAGAGATTAAATAAGAACATTTTTAATCTTATCAAATACTACTAGCAAAATATGGAAAACAATACACTACTTACTTTTAAAACAAGAACAGAGTTACTCTGAGTATTATTGCTGCTACCTCATTAGTGAAATATAACCCACTGGATTTAAAATTTTAACTTGGGGGATTTACTGTAAATAGCTAGTATTATTACCGGTTAGAAATAATCAATCACAAGTATTTTTGTTTAGTTCTCCTAAGTAACCTGACAGGATAATACAGTATTTAAAAAAAAATGTCTTTGGTTAGAGTAGCTATACCAGTAAAATAAAAATTCCATTCATTGTTGAGAATACAATACTGCGCGGAGGTATTTTTTGTTAATGGTGCTGCTATGGGTAGCATCAGGTTCAGGGTAATTATACCAGTAAAATAAAAAATTCTATATGGCCCTGATGATACAATATTGTGAGGATGTTTCTGTTCTGTCGATGTTGCTGTTATGGGTTAAGGTAGCTATACCAGTAAAATAAAAATTCCATACAACCTGACAAGGAAGAGAATCTATTTCTCTGACCCTAGTATATAGATAGTAGATTGTTTGTGTCGTTAGAACTTTTCCCAACTAAAATCAGATGCCCAATTAATTAATCTAACAGGGTTAGCAATTATGAACAGTATGAGGTTTTTGTTAATATGCAATTATAGCAGAGAAAAAAATGACAAAGTGGTAAAATAAAAGCAAGATGTAGTTCTAGAACCAATAGATAGTTCTTGCCAGATTGAAAAAATTGAACTTGTTTAAGATGGTAGAAGAAGGGTGTGATTAAAAATGCACAGCCTGAAGTGGGAGAATTTTCAAAAATTGAAATTTTTTTTTTGTTAATGTTTTCTGTATATAAGAATTGTGCTGTCAAGTAAAATTAAAACACATGCCACCGAGAGTGGTTACTTCCTAATTTTAAATTAAATCTCTTCATTAAAATCAATGTTAAAAAAATTCTAATTTAGAAAATTGTCTTTGAGTTTGCTTTTAAAGCTGATATTTGTCAAAAAAAAAGGTTATTGGGCTAAATAATCAATGACAATGTCATCATATTAATTTGACTTTAAGAAAAAAAACACCCTTGTTTGCAAACATTGAAAAGGTTAACAGGCTAAATATATATATTTTATTTTCTCAAACTTGGAATGGTGTGGTGGAATGGTAGAGCTAACATAACAACAGCTAACTTAAAAGTCTTAAGTTTGTATCCTAGGCTTGAGTCTGATCAACATCCCCGAGTCCAACGAGCTCCAATGGGAATCCGACTCATATTAAGGAAACTAGATAGTGCTGACCACATTATCCCTTTGTATGCCAAGGAATGGTGTGGTGGAATGGTAGAGCTAACATAACAACAGCTAACTTAAAAGTCTTAAGTTTGTATCCTAGGCTTGAGTCTGATCAACATCCCCAAGTCCAATGAGCTCCAATGGGAATCCGACTCATATTAAGGAAACTAGATAGTGCTGACCACATTATCCCTTTGTATGCCAAGGACATTAAAACGGACAAATTCTACTTCATGTACTCCATGTCGCTTAGTCACAAAAAGGAAAAGATGATGATTTATGATTTCTCAAACTGATTCAGCCTAATTGCATATGGTGAACGGAAAAAAAGGCACAGGAAAAAAAACACAGGGAAAAAAACCACAGAAAAAAAGTCACATCTTTTGCTAGTCCTTTACTGCCCACATTTATCACGCTCATTACATAATGAAGTAGAGGATCAAAACAGAAAGTCGACGCTGTACAAAGGCATGGACGCAAAACATCAACAACACACAATATAGTTGCAGTAAATTGTAATGGTCGATTCCAGCCGGAAAAAGATATGCATGCGCAATGAAGGGAAACTACGACTTGCCTTCGCTGCTATGTTTTCGATGGTACTGCACATGCGTGTGTTTACAACCGCAGAACTCTAGCCCTAACCCTATCCCTAATCCTAGCTCAGCTATTAAGGTCACTGTGCATGCGCAGAACTATCTTTTGCCTATCAAGTGGAGATGCTGGGGCGAAAAATCTTTTTCTGAGTAGTCACTTCGATACTTTCAGATAGGCCTAACGCCACATTAGTAGAATCTTCTTAAAAATGTTGAGTTAACTTAAAACTATCTAATTTCTAAATAAAATTATGATCTAGAATCTAGAGAGTAGGCTGAAGTAATAGAATCTAGATCTAGCTCAGCTTGAGTTTGAGCTAGAATCTAAATCTAGAGATCTCTGGAGTGTTGATTGTTTGTTAATTGATAATAAATAATAGGCCGATTCTAGTCGGAATAAGATACGCATGCGATACGCATGCGCAATGGAGAGAAACTACGACTTAGCGGCGATGTTTTCGATGGTACTGCGCATGCGTGTGTTTACAACCGCAGAACCCTAATACCAACCCTAATCCTATCCTTAACCCTATCCCTAATCCTGTCCCTAACCCTAACCCTAGCCCTAATCCTATCCCTAACCCTATCCCTAATCCTACCCCTAACCCTCATTCTAGCCCTAACCCTAACCCTAGCCATAGGTCACTGCGCATGCGCAGAACTATCTTTTGCCGAAAAATCTTATTCCGAGTAGACACTTCGTAAATAATAATGATGATATGCCTTGATCTAGATCTTTAATATATAATATTACTTACTAGCCTATAGTCTAGGCCTATTTTTAAAAAAATAGTCTAAATCTTAGTATCTAGATCTAGATTCTAGATCTAGATCTAGGCCTAAATTTAAAGTAAAAGTTTGGGTTAAGCCGTTCCTTAAGGCAAGGCAATGACAGCCAGTGACTACTTCTACTTGGGAGATTTGATTAGGCATAGCCATAGCCCATGGCCCATAGGCCTAGTTACTGTAGTTAGGCCCTAATTCACTAATTGTAATAATTTTTAATCAGCATTAGCATTGATTGACATATTATTTTGGACTCAGTTTTTAATAGTCTTCTTTATTTTCAATGAGACAATAGGCCTAGGCCTAATCTTAATAAATCTGATATACTTTTCATGATGAGTGATTTTTCTTTATTTTCATTTTTGACTGAAATTTGAGGTGATCACAGTCGCGTCCGTGGAACTTGTTTTTAAAATTGTTTTGTTACTTACTCGTTCAGTTTAAGAATTCATTGATCACGTTCAGATTCAGTAACACATATAATACGATATTCTATACTCTATTTCAACGAATTTACACTTTGAGTACTTAGACTCTGATTCATGAGCAGTGTGCGAATACTACATCTAGAATCTCTATCCCTTCCTTACTCCTTCTTACACATTGAAGACCGATATGCTCCACCCCCATAATTTCTTTAGGGAAGTGTAGCTACATTAAAAACATGAATCATTTCACTTCCACTTCAGCTGAGTGAGAAGTAGGCCTAGTATGACATCGTCTGTGTAACCGTTAATTGTAAACAAATATTTTTTAAAAAAATAGTAATAGATCTGTAGGCTAAACGATAAAATATTTGAAATACAATTGAACGTAAAATAATTTATTTTTACTAGATTCTAGATCTAGAAGAATTATTGAGAACAAATATTAGGCCTAGATTATAAGGGGGGTCATCCATGGCATAAATGACGTCACGCTTTTTTGGACGATTTTTACCTCACCCTCCCCCCCCCCGTCACACATCGTCACAAAAAGCCAGACCCCCCCCCCTAAAATGACGTCACACCTCAGCCCATAACCCCCCCCCTCAAAATTAATTGCAGTTGAATATTTTTTTTTAAAACATCGATATTTTCCCAAAATCTTGTCTGCAATGTTTCTTCCAGACTTTTTTTCCGGTGGGGGGGGGGGGCACTTGAAATTTTCGGGGTGGGGGGGGGGGGGCGGTAGACTTTCTTCGGGGTGGGGGGGGGGGGCGGTAGACTTTCTTCGGGGTGGGGGGGGCGGACACTGTTAAAATTTTTACTATATAAATTATATAAATTTCATTTTGTTCGGGGGGGGGGGGCGGTAAAAAATTTTCGGGGGGGGGGGGCAACTCTGCTTGTCTGAACTCTGTCAAAATAGAGTATTTTAATCAATTCCTATTGTAATTTATTAAAACAGTATTCTAAAACGCGAAATAACGCTCAAATATGTTTTCTAACTATTGCTGTAATGCAAAAATGTGACGTCGCACCATCTGAACCCCTCCCCCCTCACCCTCGACCTCGTCACACACCGTCACAAAATTACGGACCCCCCCTTCCCCCCTACGAGTGTGACGTCATTTATGGACGACCCCTATAAGAGTTTATTAGAGCTTATAGCATACTATTACAATACAAAGGTCTGCTGACGCCTAGTCTAGAAAGAAGGCCCTCAAATCGATGTAGCCTAAATATTATAGATCATCTAGATTTAGACTACAAGCCCTAAATATAAATATAGATTAAATGTAATTTTTAGATATGTAAGCTAGATCTAGACCAGTGCAGCGTCTATACTCTATAATCTATACAGTATACACTGATACAAAATAGGCTACAGCTAAATTGCGGAGATCAAGGCTATATCTAGATCTAATCTATATTTATATTTTTAACGCAAACACTATATTGTAAACAATTTCATTTTTTTTTACCGATACGATAAACAGTTTAGATTTTGTAGTGTTAAAAGCAACTATTTTATAAACAAAGAAAAACAGCAAATTTATAAACAAAGCTTCAAACTTTGCTTTGGGTAGTCCATACACGTCACGATTCTTACCCCCCCCCCCCACCCCCTCACCCCCCAATCCATCATTATAAATTATAGCCTACATAAGTTTCTTTCAGGGATAATTTCGGGAGTGCTCCCTTCCCCCACATGATATAGTAAAAAGTTTTTTTTTTATATAGAAATTATATCTACTTTAAGTGTCCGATCTCCGGAAATTTAAGTGTTCGACCTCCGGAAATTTAAGTGCTTACCCACCTCGAAGGTTTCCAGTGCCTCCCCCCTCCCCACCTGGAGAAAATATTTGAAAGAAACACTGTTATACATCCTCACAAAAGGATCACTTTTCCATCCCCCCTACCCCCAACCCGATATTATATTTTAAACTGGTATCGCCTTTAAAATAAGGTTTTATTTAAGAATAGATCATTTGTTAAGAGAAATGTCAGGGTTACGCCAGGGGCAAGGTATGCGGCCCATTGTGACGGTCGAGCGGGTTTACGTCAAGGAACAATAGCAGCACACACACAAACACAATCATTGATACCTTTATGATTGGGCGATTGGGAAATCAGCCCCCCCCCCCGAAATTTTTTTACCGCCCCCCCCCCCCCCAAACGAAATGAAATTTATATAATTTATATAGAAAATATATACTTTAAACAGTGTCCGCCCCCCCCCCCGAAGAAAGTCTACAGCCCCCCCCCCCCGAAAATTTCAAGTGCCCCCCCCCCCTCCCCGGAGAAAAAAGTCTGGAAGAAACAAACACAGGTCGGGATTTCTAAAAAAAAATCAATGAACTTAAATCCAGGGTAGTTAATGGATTAAATCTGTCACCGATATAGCCCCCCCCCCCCCCTCCTAAATTCGACTGAAAATGTGTATAAGTAGGTTCTAATTTGATTGGACCGATAGTTCGATAACACAAAATAAAGTATAGACAATAATAGAAATATTGTGTGATCCTTGTCGGAACTATGATTTACATTTTTAAAAAGTATTTTCTGACTGAAAGTTTTCAGTTATTTCGCAATTTTAAAAGTCATTTTTTGGTATTCTGTAATACAAATTAATCAAAGGAAATGGTACAACTCCAGACCAGGCGGTCTACGATGTAGATGAAGTAGAGTTCATCTGCTGCTCTGACTGCAATTCTTATTCCCTAAAATTTGTCACGGAAGAATGAGTCCAGTTAGAGGAAGACGTGGCCGGGAGGGAGAGTGTATGGCTGCTAACTCCAAAAGTCCCGAATTCAAAACCCAGCTCCAGAGGAGGCCCGTTAGTTAAGGACAACAACCCATCTAGGAGAGCATCTATATATCTTCTATATATATAATTCTCTTCATAGGGACCATACGAGACACCAAGCAGCTTAGCCACCAACATCATTCCAACCTGTCAGGTGAGCTGTGGTTCACCCCGAATGTTTACAATAGTAGAGCCGGTTCGAATAAGTGACAGCTATTGGGGCAGATAATTTAGTTTTTAAACGATTTGAAACTAAGAGGAGATAATAAGTTCTGCTTGATATTTTCATTGTCGTCTGTAAACGGCTGCTTTCACTGGGCGGGGTGAGTGGGGGGTGGGGGGGGGGGAGTGGGGGAGTGGGGGTGGTGGAGGCAGGGGGATGGGGTAGTGTCGAATTTACAAGTTATGAATTGTTGATAAGTAGAGAATAAAACAACTAGTTAGCGGCATTTGCTACGTCGCGGGTCAGCTCGTACTCCAATATTAAACAACCGCTGCCTTGCAGATTTTTCTTTGGTGGACAAATGCTATCTCAAATCCAGATAGAAACGCTGGCTGAAATCTAAGTAAACGAGCTATATGGCGCATATCATATTAAGATAATTAACTCGCTATAGCCTACTGTGTTGGAGGAAATCCCCTTTTAATTATACAAATGTGAATGAAAAAGAAGAGCCCATTTAATATTGTTCCCTCTCTAATATACTAATTAATTTAAAAACAAAAACAACGGATCTAGGTCGACTGTAGGTCTATGACCAACACAACTGCTCGTGATTTAGCACTGAGCCCGTGTTAACGGGTGTTGTTAATTCCAAATTAAAACATCAACAAGCTAATTAGTAACGGCGCCTGTCACGGTTGAGCGTTAAAAGCGGTGATTAACTATAGGCCTACTCAGCACGGATTAGAGTCACATTTACATTCACTTACCAATAGTTGTCTGATACAGATTAGAGTCATATTTACATTCACTAACCAATAGTTGTCTTATACAGATTAGAGTCATATTTACATCCACTAACCAATAGTTGTCTGATACAGATTAGAGTCATATTTACATCCACTTACCAATAGTTGTCTGATACAGATTAGAGTCATATTTACATCCACTTACCAATAGTTGTTTGTCTGACACAGATTAGAGTCATATTTACATCCACTAACCAATAGTTGTCTGATACAGATTAGAGTCATATTTACATCCACTAACCAATAGTTATTTGTCTGATACAGATTAGAGTCACATTTACATCCACTAACCAATAGTTGTTTGTCTGATACAGAGTCACATTTACACCCACTAACCAATAGTTGTTTGTCTGACACATATTAGAGTCACATTTACATCCACTAACCAATAGTTGTCTTATACAGATTAGAGTCATATTTACATCCACTAACCAATAGTTGTCTGATACAGATTAGAGTCATATTTACATCCACTAACCAATAGTTGTCTGATACAGATTAGAGTCATATTTACATCCACTAACCAATAGTTGTCTTATACAGATTAGAGTCATATTTACATCCACTAACCAATAGTTGTCTTATACAGATTAGAGTCACATTTACATCCACTAACCAATAGTTGTCTTATACAGATTAGAGTCACATTTACATCCACTAACCAATAGTTGTCTGATACAGATTAGAGTCACATTTACATCCACTAACCAATAGTTGTTTGTCTGACACAAATTCACAAATCCACCATCCAGTAGTTTACCAGAACGTTGTTGGGGCTTTGACCGAGCACACATTTAATCTTAAATTAAACGTAACTTGAATGAACGTCATGAGTTTATGGAGCGTAAACTGTTAACGTATATATATATATTATACTATTAAAACAAAATCCTATTTGTGACTCGACAATATAAATGAGTACAAAGGGAGATAAAAAAGCAAATAAAAGATCTATTCCCTGTGCAAGAGTTATATTACAGTGATTCGGTTTGGTGTTTAATTAAAAGCAGCGTTAGTGTAATTTTCAAGCAAAGAATCCGATGTTTCATGAACCGTGTAATTGTTACAAACAGATTATTTTTTACTTTATTATAGTAATCGTTAATTACAATTAAATTATAAGGCAAATGAATTTATTCATTAATTCCAAATTAATTTATAAAAATTCACTATTTTTTTTATATTAAAGAGTATATCCCTGCAGTTTTACTGTACGCATAAAAAATCTTCTACACTAGGGGTCGGCAACCTTTTGATACGCAAAAGCCAAAAGTTACAATTTACATAATTTCCCAGTTTTTAAAGAGCCACAAGATTTTTATTTCAATATTTGGTATTTGATTAGGATTAGGTAAATAAATTGATTTGTTGTTTAAAATAAATAGCTTTCAATATGAAATAATATTAATTCATATAAAAACAGACAAAATTCGCCAGAATAATAAAATTAATAATCAAATAATATTATTCTAGGACTATTTCAATCCACTTTAGAAGCTGTTAATTTTTATTTTATTTTTTTCTTTACGGATATCACCGGCTCAGGAGGTGTCTCCCATTAGCCAGTCAGGCCTCAACACGGCCAGAGTTTCTTCCAGGCATCTCTTCGGGGGGGCTTTGACCCCCCCGAAAAAATTTTACCGCCCCCCCCCCCCCCCCGAACGAAATGAAATTTATATAATTTATATAGAAAATATATACTTTTAACAGTGTCCGCCCCCCCCCACCCGAAGAAAATTTACCGCCCCCCCCCCCCCCCGAAGAAAAAGGTCTGGAAGAAACACTGAACACGGCAAACGCCGACTAACTGGCTTGGATATCGGTTTGAATAACTTGCATCGTTCGTTTCTGTCCTTTGGTTCTCACCAGGCTTATCTTCCATCCCACTGAACGCAGGTTAAACTCGTACCCCACCGTCCAGTAAAAATGAAATTATATAGCTATTAATATTTGTGCAAGGAGCTGGAGAGTCGCATCTGGACGTCAAAAGAGCCGCGTGCGGCTCGCGAGCCACAGGTTGCCGACCCCTGTTCTACACAATATTTTTCAACATAAAACAGATTTATTTTTTTAATTTATTTTTTTTATTTCCCGCTTCAGACATGTAATTTATAGCGTCAGTTGTGTGTTCGCTTTAGTATTACAGTTTTCATCATCGGCTTGTGAGGACTGATACAGATTTACACTAGTAATATTTCTTTCTTACTTGTAGCCTACTTTCATTCATTTAAGATGGTTTACTTATACATAGATCTAATATAAAACGTCTAAACATAAAAAAATAAATAATTAAATAAATAAAACCAACCTGAAAATGCACATGTGTAATTAAATGGTGATTCAAGGGATTACAACCTAAAACAGAAAAATGTGAGTGGGAGAAACTTAAAGAAAAGTTGTAGAATATTGAAGCATTGACATGGCTGTAATTAAGAAAAAAAAATGCCTATATTGAAACAAGTTTCGTTAGAAAATTTTTCTTTACCAAAGTATTTTAAATTGAGTTACAAACTTTAGTATTTGTTCTTAAAAATAACGTATTGTTTTGGGTTAAAAATTAAAAGAACATTGATCAAACTCTTTTGTATTTTTAATAAACTCTCCTCATAATGGTACTTTATGCTTATTATTAAATAAGTTACATTTATTATATACCCTTAAAAACATTCTCTAGCTCCGGGAGTTACATTTGTCGCATACGATTCCTTTCTCATGTTTACATTTTATGAAGTTGTGCTGAAGTATTGATTTTTTAACTGCTGGCTCTAGCTTCTATAAGCGACGTTGTTAAGGACGCACTTGTTCGTGTGCTGCGTGGTTATCAGAGCATACAATGTAGTGTGTTCATGGCTCAATGTTTCAGATCTATAACAGTGTGTATTTTGGAACTGACTGGTATTTAATGCTAAAGGACAGGTAGTGATTTTGTTTATTCCTGTGGAACTTGAGTAGACCTGTTTGAAAAGTATCTTTGTATATATATATATATATATATATATATATATATATATATATATATATATATATATATATATATATATATATAAATACACATATCTTATATATCATATATATATATATATTATATACACAATAAACACATATTATATATATATTATATACATTAAACATATATATATATATATATATATATATATATATATATATACATAGTTACCTTAGCACATACTAGTATTGCTACTTACGGTGTAGCCAAATAGTTTATATTGTGAGGCATGAATCTGTTTATTTGATAAGGTTAACCTTAAACATGGCCTTTTACGTTCTCTTAGTATTTATCATTATCTTTTCCCATATATGCCCAAGACACATGGGCAGATAAAGTAAGGGGTCGTCCATAAATGACATCACACTCGTAGGGGGGAGGGGGGGTCCGTAATTTTGTGACGGTGTGTGATGAGGGGGAGGGCGGGGAGTGGGGGGGGGGAGGTTCAGATATTGCGACGTCACACTTTTGCATTATCAAAAAGCAATGTTAGAACACATATTGTAGACGTTATTTTGCGTTTTAGAAAACTGTTTTAATAAATTGTAATAGGAATTGATTAAAATACTCTATGTTGACAGAGTTCTGACAAGATTTTGGAAAAATATCGATGTTTAAAAAAAAATTCAACTGCAATTTTGAGGAGGGGGGGGGGTGTAGGCTGAGATGTGACGTCATTTTAGGGGGGGGGGGTGTCTGGCTTTTTGTGACGGAGGGGAGGGGGGAGGTAAAAATCGTCAAAAAAGCGGGACGTCTTTTATTGATGACCCCTAGAGCTCATCTGTTTCAACGACCTCAGTATTTATAATGGACATGTTTCTTTTCTTAAAGTACAGCTTTTATAACTGACAGAATAAAGGTTGTTTTATTTTTTTAATAATTGCAGACTGAAGCGTTACCATGGGAACCTGCACATCTATGTCACAGAACGACATGGTCTGTGAGTTGCATTTGAAGTTTTCCTTGCTTTTTATTTTTGTAGTTTGTTTTGATTAAAACTCGTGTTTTGTGGTTTCAAGAACGCATTCGAGTGCGAAAACTGCTCGCACTCGCAACACGTGAGTTTTGATCGAATACAATATGGATAATATAAATGTTACAGTTTGTAAATTTTAAGTATCGTCATCATCATGTATCCTTTGTTGCCCCTAGGGAGCAGGTTCTAAACATGTGTGGTCGAAGGGTAGAGGGTACCAGTGGCGTAGCCACGATCGTCTCAAGGGGGGGGGGGGTTCCAATTTTTACCCGAGGACAAACTTTCAATTTGCACCCCCCCTCAAACTTTCGATTTGCACCCCCCCCTTATACTTTTTATATATACCGAGGGGTCTATGGGGGGGGGGGGGTTTATGACCCCCCTAACCCCCCTGCCTACGCCACTGGAGGGCACAATTGTTAACCTAAGAATCTATAAGTCGGTTACTGGTTTCTGAGTACCTGACTCACGTTAGGAAAAGAAAAGACAGCTTGACATAGTGTTGACCACAATATTCTTGTGATTTTACACACTTTATCTGCCTGCCCAATGGGCCGCCATGTTCGAAAGAGTATACCTACTTTGTTCTTTCTTCCATTTTTTATAAAACTCATTTGCGCTGTTTTGTACCATCTTCCCCCATCCCACTTTATATAATTTTACACCACTTACGTAACCAATTTTTTTCCCTGTCAACTTCTTGAAAATCTTCAAAAATTACGTTACGATTTTTTTGAGGATTTTACCATATCGTTAATGAAAGCCCCCCCCCCCCCCCCCTACACACACGTGTGACGCCATTTAAAGACGACACATTGCTCAATTTATTTCAACTGCCCTATGGAATCAGTACCTGATTTTACCATATTGTTAATGACCCCCCCCCTTAAACGTGTGACGCCTTTTTAAGACGACCCTCTACCCTATATATTTTCTGGCCGATGGAATCAGTTCCTGATTTCCTGGGTAGAATAAATCATTCTTGTAAGGAATGCTTGATTTTACAAACGTTTTTAGAAACAAGCTACACGTGTTTACGAAATTGTATCTGCATGATGTACTTTTATAATTTTTACAGCATAGATTACAGTTTATAACTCAATTCAATTTTATTGGTTTTTATAACAAGAAAAAGTAAAAAAAAGTTCTTTTTTTCAAACCTGACGGTGCATAGGGCAAGTGAAGTAGAGTTCTCTTGTTTCTGTGACCTCGGCATATGAAGAGATAGTGTGGTCAGCACTATGCCCAGCCGCCTTTACTTTCCCTAACGTGAGTTAGGTACCCATCAGAGTTGGGTGGACTCAGGGACGGTCTACTGACTTGAACCCGGATTCGAACTCGAGACTTACGGGTTAGCAGTTCAGCTCACTACCGCTAGACCTCTCCGTCCCACCTTATAACAAGAACTTGTAATTTAACTGTAAGATTATATATTCAATTTCTTATATTTTAAAAATAAAATTTATAATTTCACAATTATTGACAGTAACAACGTGGGAGATGTACAAGTCAGACGCTCTATCTGCAGCATTGTCTGATGTCCTAACGGATTTTTCACAACACAACACAGGCGAGGAGTGTCTCCAAAAATTACGTCACCTCAACGACGCCATTGGCCAATTTTTCGTACTCGGTCAGCTTCAGCCTAAGCTTATAAATTTCGCGGAAATTAGTTTTAAAATTCACCAGAACATTCTAGTAGAACTGGGAGTGAAGCACTACTCGGAGGTAGGCGAAGAACACGCGGTGTCGGAAAGTAAAGTTTGTGTCTTGGAAGAGATAAGAAAATCCTGGGGGAAATTGTCCCTGAATTGTCCACCATTTTGTGAGAAACTAGTCGCCTGTGGGGCGTTCGGTGAGTTGTTGTATGACTTGAGCAAGACATTGAAGATCTGCAAGAAAAAGAGAAAAGGCAACAAAGGGGAAGAATCGCAAGTATTTAGTATTTTTTTTTTGGTTACATTTTTGTGTGTGCCTCAGACCAGTGTTTCTTCCAGACTTTTTTCTCCCGGGGGGGGGGGGCACTTGAAATTTTTTTCCTTTATAAATTCCATTTCGTACGAGGGGGGAGGGAGACTTTCTTCGGGGGAAGAGATGCCTGGAAGAAACTCTGCCTCAGACATGTAATTTACAGCGTCAGTTTGCCGTGCCATGCTCGCTTTAGTATTTGAGTTTTAATCGCCGGATTTTGAGGACTGATGCAGATTTGTAATAGCAATACTTCTATCCGACACGTACTTTCATTCATTGAAGATGGTTTAATTATACGATGCCTAGAAAAATGCGTAATCGGAAAAGAGCACAACAAAAAACTGCGCATATTAAATAAACCGGGAGTGATCTCCCCAAAACTTTCTCGAATACTCTTATATAAAATAACAGGGGATGGGAACTCGGGCTATAGACATGATTTTTAATCCATTTTAAATACTTAAAGTTTTTAAAATAGAATAAAATTTCGTAGACAAATTAATTGCACACCAAGTGAACGCCAAATAAAAAAGCGCATAATAGTGCTCAATATTATTAATACTTTTAAAATTTACATTAGTTTTTTGAGAAATCGGAAGTAGCGTAAATTACTACTTCCGGTCAACGGAAATTACTCAAAATTTAACAGAAGGTAGAGAATTAGATGTTTTACTTACATGTGAAATTTCATTTATCTATCTGAAATAGTACTCAACTTATAGGCTTTTGAAAAATTCAAAGTAGAAAAAGTACCACTTTCGGTTATCGGAAATCGCTCAAAAGTTGATACGGATCTACGATTTTGATAAAATACTTATATATGAAATTTCAGCAACCTAGCTGTAACGGTGCTCAAGTAATCGTGTTTACACACACACACACACACACACACACACACACACACACACACACAGACACACAGACACACAGACATACGGACAAGATTGCAAAATTATGTTTTTCCGTATCAGTGAGATGTAAAACGTCGAGATTTGTAAAAATCTCGATTTTTTTTTTGCACGATTACAAGAATTTCTCTATACTTCGTATATACGAGAAAGTAAAAATGCACGATTTCAAACTAATTATACTATAACTCATTTTTAATGTTTTGTGGAGTTATGTTTTATTAGGCTATAACAGGGGTCTCCAAACTACGGCCCGCGGGCCGGATGCGGTCCGCGAGGTCATTTTATCCGGCCCGCGAAGATCTTTTTGTCCACTGAAAAAATGTTTGTTGGAGGTGGCTGAGGAGCTTTGCACAGAAAATTCAAAACTATTTGAAAATGTAGCTTTGGGCGCAAATACAATTTCTCGCCGTGTTACAGACATTGGTGAAAACATAGTGACTCTAATAGCGAAAAATTCAAGGAAATTCAGCCTTTTTTTCAATTGCAATGGATGAGTCGCTTGGCAGCTGTTCCACCTCTCAATTTCGTCTGTTCATTAGAGGTGTGGGTGAAGACCTGAACATAACACAAACGCTGGCTTCCCTACAAATAATGTATGGCACTGTTACCGGAGAGGATATCTAACCATAGATAGTTCAGAGACAAACACAAAATCGCAAGATTTACCATAATTTACATCAGTAAGATTGCTAATTTTGCGAGAAAATTCTGAGAAGAGTATCTAAGAAAAGAAATAGGTGACTTCCTGGTAGCAAAGGCAAGTCACAGCAATTATTGTCTGATGAAGAGTGGGTATAGAAATTAGCCTCTGCTGCAGACATAACTAGTCAATAAAGTTTTCTGAACCTAAAACGGCAAGAAAGTGAAATCTAGTTTCTGAACTATACACCCACATAAAGGCCTTTAGATACAAACTTTTCATGTTTTTCGAACAAGTACAGGCTAACAACTTGACACACTTTCAGCAGTGCAAGGTCTTTACGACTGAAGCAATCACTGAGTTCCCCACGTCATTTACATAAGAGATCATTAAAGACCTTCAGCTGCAGTTTCAGTAGCGGTTTTCTGACTTGGAGACCGTTTCAAAGCCCATTTGAAGCAAATGTGGCCAGTTGCAAAGATGATCTGCAGCTGGAGGTCATTGAATTGCAAGAAAATGACTTCCATAGAGACACGTTCAAAGAAGGGCAGATGGGTTTTCATACGTTTTTGCACAAGGAAGACTTTCCTAACATTAAAACTTTTGCATCAAAGTACCCTTTCAAATTTTCGAACAACATACCTGTGTGAACAAACATTTTCAAGAATAAATTACGTGTAGAACAATTTGTGAGCAAACGTGAACCTCCGGTGGGGGGTGGGGGGGGGTGGACACTTGAACTTTGTATATATTTCTATATAAATTATATTTCGATGGGGGTGGGGGGGAGGGGCGGTAGACGTTCTTCGGGGAGGGGCGCCACGACCCTGAAGAGATGCCTTAAAGAAACTCTGGCCCCCGAACTGATATTTGATAGTTAATGCGGCCCTCGGGCTGAAAAGTTTGGAGACCCCTGGGCTATAATGTACACGTGTTTATTCTTTGTTAATGTCTATAAATGCTCGATTTAAAAAAACAACACAGAAATGCCCTTGTGCACTTTTTTTGTGAAAATGATGGGATTCGGTCGATACCTCCAAAAAGGTTAAGAACCACTGCCCTAGGTCTAGATTGTTTAGTTTCTTAATATAAAGATTGCTAATGTAATTGATCTGTTTTCAAAATTTTATCAATTTGTAGATTGTTTTTTAAGTAAAAGGGAAAGCTATTTTTCAAAAATAATTTCTGCGATTTTATTTAAATGACTGACTTAGTCCTCGATAGACTCATTTTAATATTACGTTTTACATCTCCTTCTGTACATACGTATTTATATGTGTACGATTCATATTCAAGAACATTTTTTTTTTTTTTTGTAATATTTCATAGTTTAATTCTCAATATAAATTTTGTATTGGTCAAGTTTGTTTACTAATTAAACTTTTAATTGATTACTGCATGATTGTAATTTGTAACTTAGGGTCTCAAGCTCACATACAAAATAACAAATAGAAACATCATTTGAAATGCAAAGAAAATCTTGGGAAATATGCATAGACATATTATGTGATAAAAATTTATTTTATACAAAACCAATTGTGTTAAATGTATGATAAGCTTTCATCATACAATCTATGACACAGCCATACTTTGTTCAGCTGAGACAAAAATTTAGTATATCTCCTTTACTAGTTAACATGTGGACTAGCATATTTCCTTCTTCACTAGCCAACAAATGGATTAAGGTATTTCCTTAAAAGTGGAGCATTCATCAATAAAAATAAATTCACACGTTGAATCTATGGGAAAATATAAGCCCTATTACAAAATAATTTACTTAATTTGAAATGCACAAATAAATATGGTTGGTAGCGAATGGGGTTGGATGCGGTCTGCACCGGGGGACACAATTTAGGGGGGGGGGGGGGTGCCACCAAAATAGTAAAATACACTTTTAATTAATACTAAATCTAGTCGTAATAACAAATTTAATAGTGGGAAAAGTCGGACATGAAACCAAATTGCTAAATTCTTGGAGGAGATTGGGTTGACACCCTAAGTCACCGCCCCTGAAATTACAACCCGGACATTCCCCTTCCACGTATTAACCCCCCCCCCCCCCCCGGAGCAATTACCTCCTGTCAATTACCCCCCCCCCCCTCACATTTAGAATCCTAACTTTAACTAGCATTCTATACATATATTACCTTAGTACTAACCTTAAGAAAAAGACCAAAACCTAAGCATCCACCTCAGCCTAAAACTTAACACAAAACCAAAACCAACGCTAGGCATTGGTTTAAGCCTAACCCTAACCCCAGCCAAAGCTATTGCCCTAACTCTAACCCTAACCCTAACCCTAACAATGTCCGGGGGGGGGGGGTAATGTCCGGCTGGGCTGGGGGTAATTGACAGGGGGGGGGGGGTAATTGACAAGGGTGGGGGGGGGGGTAATTACTCAGGTGGAAATTGACGGGGGGGGGGTAATGCCCTGTTCCCCTAACACACATTACCAATGTGTTCCTTTAATTTTTACAGAACCTCCAGTCTCGCCTTGTTCCAGCGTTGGACCTCATCTTGGCTGTTGTCAGGTTAGAAAAACGACAAAAGATGTTCAGTGAAGGAAAGATGATTCGGCTGCTGAAACGGTTTTTCAAACTGAAGCTCAAAACAGGCATGTTAAAGATGTTAACCAGAGGCGTAGCGAAGTGGAAGGGGGGGTTGGCAGGGGGGGGGGGGTACATGTGTCCCCAGGCGTCAACCCTAATGGGCGCCAAACTGTGTTTTAAAAAAAAATTAAAAGCTCATTTTAGCTGCAGTTTTGCATTATAAATATAAAAAAATATATGGGGGAGCGGCAAATTGAAAGTTTGTCCCCGGGCGCCGGAAAAGGTCGCTACGCCTCTGATATAAACTAATTAATAAACGTAGATGTTTAAACAGAGTTGTAGTAAGCTGTTTTCAACGCACTTGCTTACACACCTGTAACATGTTTGCCTAAGTTTAATGGAATAATATTAATGTCGATAGTAAACAGATAGAATTATCAATGAATTTTAAACAAACGGGAAGTATTTCAAAAACTTCAATTTTTCCTTTGAAATTTCTTACTTTGATTTATATTGCAAATCTGATTCTGACTTCTAGTAAAAGTGCGCTTGGGTCTAATTGTTTAAAGTATTTAATTATTTTATTCTTTAAAAAAAATCATGACAATTTAAAAATGAAAGCGCTACTCGTTATTTATTTTCTAAAACATCGTATTTTTAAAAATAATACCAAGTGTTAGCGATCTGTAATCAGAAATAATTGAAAATTGTCTTTATTATTTTATCAAAACAGCATCAATTATTTTTATTTATCAGTTTTAAATTTAAACCTATTTACATTTTTTTTTTACGCTTAGTGAATTCTGTGTCGGCCATCTTGACATGTTCGAGACTGAACTCACACCCCGAGGTCACCAAATATTTGAACCTTGACCCCTTGTTGACTGAGGTCAAGGCATCATTAAAACACTGGATCGGCAATAGACAGTTTAGGTAATAAATTGGCTAATACACATTTTAATAAATTACAAACATTTGAGGTGCCTTATGCATACTGCAAAGGCAGTGTTTGTTTTAGGCTTCTCTCCGTGGAGAGCTCAATTAGGTGGGCTATATCTGATTGTGTAATTACTAATTAATTAATTAATTAACATCGTCTACTGGAACAAATGGTGTAATAGGTAATTAATTAATGACCACAGTCTGCTAGAGCTGATAGTGTAATTACTAATTGATTTGTTAATTAACACAGTCTGATTGAGCTTATAGTGTAATTACTAATTAACGAATTAATTTAATTAACCCAGTCTGCTAGACCTGATGATGCAATTACTAATTAACGAATTAATTTAATTAACCCAGTCTGCTAGAGCTGATGATGCAATTACTAATTAACGAATTAATTGAATTAACCCAGTCTGCTAGAGCTGATGATGCAATTACTAATTAACCAATTAATTTAATTAACCCAGTCTGCTAGAGGTGATGATGCAATTACTAATCAACCAATTAATTTAATTAACCCAGTCTGCTAGAGCTGATGATGCAATTACTAATTAACGAATTAATTTAATTAACCCAGTCTGCTAGAGCTGATGATGCAATTACTAATTAACCAATTAATTTAATTAACCCAGTCTGCTAGAGCTGATGATGCAATTACTAATTAACGAATTAATTTAATTAACCCAGTCTGCTAGAGCTGATGATGCAATTACTAATTAACGAATTAATTTAATTAACCCAGTCTGCTAGAGCTGATGATGCAATTACTAATTAACGAATTAATTTAACTAACCCAGTCTGCTAGAGCTGATAGTGTAATTACTAATTAATTTGTTAATTAACACAGTCTGCTTGAGCTTATAGTGTAATTACTATTTAACCAATTAATTTAATTAACCCAGTCTGCTCGAGCTGATGGTGTAATTACTAATTAACGAATTAATTAATTAACCCAGTCTGTTCGAGCTGATGGTGTAATTACTAATTAACGAATTAATTAATTAACCCAGTCTGCTAGAGCTGATGATGTAATTACTAATTAACCAATTAATTAATTAACCCAGTCTGCTGGAGCTGATGGTGTAATTACTAATTAACGAATTAATTAATTAACCCAGCCTGCTGGAGCTGATGATGCAATTACTAATTAACGAATTAATTAATTAACCCAGTCTGTTCGAGCTGATGGTGTAATTACTAATTAACGAATTAATTAATTAACCCAGTCTGCTAGAGCTGATGGTGTAATTACTAATTAACGAATTAATTAATTAACCCAGTCTGCTAGAGCTGATGGTGTAATTACTAATTAACGAATTAATTAATTAACCCAGTCTGTTCGAGCTGATGGTGTAATTACTAATTAACGAATTAATTAATTAACCCAGTCTGCTGGAGCTGATGGTGTAATTACTAATTAACGAATTAATTAATTAACCCAGTCTGTTCGAGCTGATGGTGTAATTACTAATTAACGAATTAATTAATTAACCCAGCCTGCTAGAGCTGATGGTGTAATTACTAATTATCCAATTAATTAATTAACCCAGTCTGCTAGAGCTGATGGTGTAATTACTAATTAACCAATTAATTAATTAACCCAGTCTGCTAGAGCTGATGGTGGGGTTGAGGGAGCTCAGCAGCGAGGCCGCCCTAAAGAGGGCGCTGGTCGACAAGGGCGTTCACTCTATCATCAACAGCGTCTTGAGCACACGCGACCAGCAGACGATAGTGTATGAAACTTTACTGCTGGTCTGGGAGCTGTGTTTTGATGAAAGGGGAAACTCGCTCATACAGGTAGGTCAATAGGTCAATTAGGTGGGTTAGTGGGTCAATCCATGTAGGTTAATGATTCTGTCCAGATAGGTTTATAGGTCAATTAGGTGGGTTAATGATTCAATCCAGGTAGGCTAATAGGTCAATCCAGGTAGGTTAATAGGTCAATTAGGTGGGTTAGTGGGTCAATTAGGTGGGTTAAAAGGTCAATTAGGTGAGTTAATAGGTGAATTAGGTGGGTTAGTAGGTCAATCCAGGTGGGTTGGTGGATCAATCTAGGAAGGTTAATAGGTTAATCCAGATAGGTTAGTGATTCAAAGTAGGTTAATGAGACAATCCGGGTAGGTTAGTGATTTAATCCACGTAGGTTAATAGGTCTATCCAGGTAGGCTAATAGGTCAATCCAGGTGGGTTAACGAGCCAATCCACGTAGGTTAAAAGGTTAATCCAGTTAGATTAATGATTCATTATAGGTAGGTTAATAGGTCAATCCAGGTAGGTTAATAGGTCAATCCACGTAGGATAATAGGTCAATCCAGGTAGATTAATAGGTCAATTCAGGTGGGTTAATAGGTCAATCCAGGTAGGTTAATAGGTCAATCCAGGTAGGTTAATGATTCAATGCAGGTGGGTTAATAGGTCAATCCCGGTAGGTTAACTGTTCAATTCATGGAAGATTTATAGGTCAATCCAGGCAGGTTAATGATTTAATTCAAGCAGGCTAATCGAGGTAGGTTAATTAGTAATTAGAGAATTTAATGTAAAAGAGAAACAACAGAGAACTAACGTTCAAACGACTTTTATATCGAAATATACAGTTGTGAAATAAATCTATTTGAAGCTTAAAATTTATATTGAAATGTTATAAATGGAAATGAGGACTGTAAAGTGGTATCTATATAACTATAAATATCGCAAATCTGTGGATATATAAAATATTCCATGTATTTGTGTTATATAACATGAGTAGGTCCAGTAATGTTTTTATTAAACTTAAGTTATAACATGTCACAGTGATTCTTCAAACTATTACTTTTTCTAAAATCTGTATACAGGCAGATAGAGAAATGAAAACCAATCTATCAAAATACTCAACACAAAAATTAGTGGCGGATATTTTCTGGCTTATTAATGAAGGTAGGATAATAATTTAGGTGCTTGTTGTTGTTACGCTTTTAAAAAGTAATCAATCCAATGATGTTAAATATTTATAGAAATAAACGATATATATATATATATATATATATATATATATATATATATATATATATATATATATATATATATATATATATATATATTTATATATATATATATAATATAGTCGTTTTTTTACGTAAAAGAATAAATCTGCAATCTTTCTTGATGTATGGTACTCGGTTTTATTCAGTCCATTTTAAAAAGTATTGATATGATTGCTGTAAACCTTTTGTAAACAATTTTGAATCGCTTTTATTTTATTTTCTTTGAATTAAGATCCTTTACTGCGGATACTTTTTTTTTTGTTAATTTGATAGCAACCACCAATGTGTTTCAAATTATAGTTGGCGATTCTTTGGTAGTCGACACTGGTTAAAAGTTTATATTGTTTCTGTTATTTCTTTGTGGGTTGTTTTTGTCACTGACTTCAATAATGTTGATACGGATACTTTTGTAGCTTTTCCTACTTTCAATTCCTTACCCCCAGAGGTTAAACAAGAAACGGATGGCGTGATGAAGTCTCTAAAAGATTTGAACCTTAGACAAACAGAACTTCAATCCGCGTACATGATCCTCCAGTCTAACATCGGCCTCACATCGGCCATGGAAATGGCAGCGGTTCTAGTGAAATGCCTGCAACAGTTCCACGTCAGTCTGAAGCAGATTCGGGATTTCGACGCCATCTACGAGTCCAATGAAGATCTCAGACTTATCGGGGATTTCCTGTGTAAAATTAAATTCCTGGAGGTATCCCGTCTATTTATGAAGCATGCAAATACCAGTCGTGGTGAGCAGTTGGCGGAAGGCGAGTGTGAGCAGGTTGTGCATTACCTGAGAGAGATTTCTTTGAGGTACTCAACCTGGAGTATCTATTTCGCGACACGGGTGGCCCCTTCGGAACTGTTAAGCGGAATTCGCGAGGATTCTGAATATTTGATACAAGTTGGAGTTTCTCCGGTAAGATGCTGATTAGCTTTAATAGGGTCAATTAATTAAAAAAAAAACTTAACTATCACAGCAGATTCAGAAATGTACGATTACCAAATTTAATTACTCTTAATCTAAACCTCTTAATTTTTGTATTCAAATATTTAAAAAAAAGCTACTATGCTATATATTTTCAAACCACAAACTAAATTTAAAAAAAAAACCAATACATTTTATTTCAACCATACGCATGAACTGGAGGAAGCGCTTTATCATATTTTTCTAAGTGTATGGAGCTCTTAACAGCTGGTTAATTTGTGTATTCTGAAAATGATCTAAAGACAAACAAGTTAAAATGGTGTATCGTTTAATACAAGTTTGTATTGTACTAGAATTAGTAAGGGGGAATCACCAGTGAAATACTGAGCACCTAACAAGGCAAGAAGAGTAATGGAAGGGGTAGGGTAAACGAACAAATAATGTAGAGCTTTTTCGGATCTAAACATTTTGTGAGTGAGAGTTTTAATACCTGTCTTCCGAATGGCTTTGTTGATCGTTTTCATAAATTATAATTTAAAACATTTTTTTTTAATGGAGTTTTAAAAGTTCTAATATTTTTATCCAGTGTAATTACTTTTTTTAAAGACTTCAACGCCGGCAGTGACGGACTATGTCCTGCAGGAGCTCTACACAAATGTCCGTGTCCTCTACAACACGGCCAAGTTGTGGGACCAGCCCAAGTCCTTGCGTGACGGGCGGATAATCCAGCTTCTGCAGTCATGTGTTCACGTTGATACGCAAACAAGTAAGTCATATGTAGAGCTGCTTTAGCACCTGATTCGTCACACCCGACTAATTTTATAATGTAGTCGCAACCTCGCACACAGAGTTTCTTCCAGGCATCAAATCGGGTGGGGGGGGGGGGTGAGGGACCCCACCCCAACCCCCCCTTTACCCCCAAAGAAAGTCTGCCGCCCCGCCGAACAAAATGGAATTCATATAGAAAATATATACTGTTAAAAGTATCCGCACCCCCCCCCCCCCCGGTAATTTTATTTTTAGTCCACCCCCCTCCCCCCGAAAATTTCAAATTCGTAGACATTGCTTTGAAAAAAAGAACGAAAATTAATCCATTAAAAAAGAATATTTGAGCTTGGAAATCAAACTCTTTTTTTTTGGTAGTTTTTCACTTTTAAACTAACATATCTATTTATATATACGAGCCGGCCCGCGGCATAACATACGCCGCTATTTAGTTGTTTCTAATTTTCAATAATTCATAATTTGTGAATTCGACAGTACCAACGCTGACACTGAAAATATTTCTTTAAAACACTATAAGTAGCTCGTTAAGGACCATAAACCCCCCCCCCCTTCCTTCCCTCCCCCCCCCCTCCTCCCCCCCCCCCTACGTTTAAAATCGTTGGCTCTGCTTGTAAACATTTAGAGTGAACACAGCTCACTAAAACCATGTAGGGGTGGGGAGGTAGGGAGAGCGTTTGCAGCTTGTTTTGTAACGGCTCGAAGAAGAGAATTATATATATAGAAGCTTGTTTTCTAACGGCTCGAAGAAGAGAATTATATATATAGATAATTCTCTACGTCAACCAACCATGCGGCACCAGAGGCTTAGCGACCCTTCCCGGCGCCCGGGGACAAACTTTCAATTTGCACCTCCTCAAACTTTTGATTTGCACCACCCCCCCCCTCCAAACTTTCGTTTTGCACCCCCCCTCAAACTTTCGATTTGCACCTCTCCCCCTCAAACTTTCGATTACTTTTCCAACCCATTTTGGCGCCCCCTAAGGTCCTCCCCTGCACCCCCATCGCTACACCTCTGTGCGGCACACCACCACGTATACGCACGCCGTTCTGCCCCCTCCCTCGCTCTCCAGGCATGCTCAACAGACCATATCGCTACCACCCCCACCCCTACCAGTCTGGTGAGCTGTGGTTCACGCCGAATGTTAACAACCATAGATCTGAGTCGAGTTAGTGACGGCTATTAGAGGCAGATAATTTAGTTTTTAAACGATTTGAAACCAAGAGGAGGTAATAAAAAGTTCTGCTTGATTTTTTCATTGTCGTCTGTAAACTGTCGTCACGGACGGCTTTCACGGGTGGGGGGTGGGGATGTGCGAGTTAGGATAATCGTCCTTCACGAGCTACTGATAGTGTCTTAAAGTTAAATATTTTCAGTCGCAGCATTAGTAGTGCCTAATTCACAAATTATGTTTAATAAATATTAGCATTAAATATATTGTATTGTTTAAAAATTTAATCGATTAACATTAGTTATTTATTTGTAGTAGTTGCTTCCCATTTGAAAAATCTTTTAAACCAGGGGAAAAAAACAATATTTTTTTTTAGCTAAAGAAGGACAAAGTAATACAAAAAAAAACCAAATTGATTGTTAAATCTTCACTATTAAACACAAGTATTTATATATTGATATGAAAAATTTGTCAGTTCTTAAATATTATTGGATTTTAAAATAATTATTTGACTCTAAAATATATAGAAAAGCTTTAGCTCAAAGACTTGGTGAATTGTAAAAGTAGGTAAACCTCAATTTAAAAGCATTTCTATAGTTGCCCGATAAATTTAATTTTGGATCCCTTGAAAACAAGGGACAACATCTAAATGTAAAATATCTGTTGTTGATCTTAAGTGACAAGTAGCTGCACTCGTAGTTAGCAAACAATTATTTTATTAGCATAATTTAATACCATGATTTATTTAAGACTTGTTAAAAATGTTTTTGTTAATGGTTCAACGGCTAACCTTGCTTGTTTCTTATGTAAATTATTTTAGTATTCTCCTCCGTTCTCCATTTAATGGAGAATCCACTAGGTGGGTGGTAATACAAGTACCATTGTACCTTCTCGTATACAGAGTATGGAGAAAGTATTTTAATTGAGCAAACACATTTAATAAAATTTTAACAGTTTATACCGTCTTTCACACCCTACTTTAACGTATACGCAGTATAAAGGATGAATTACAATCTTGCGAAAACTTCTAAATCGAGATTTGGAAAAATTTGGACTTTTTGGACCATCCGGAGGCCGAAAAACGTTGTTTTGCAATCCTATCCATTTCAGTTAGCTTGATAAAATTTCATGTATAATTATTATAGCAAATTCGTAGTTTTCTCTAAATTTCGGAACGATTTCCGGTAAGCGGAACAGGTACCATATCTTAAGTACCGTTTAAAATCGGTTGACGAAATTATGCTTATGTAGGCCTATATTCGTTCTCTTAAAAAAACTTCATAATTTGATACTTTTATTATTATATTTGATAATTTAATATCATACTCGCATTAAGTTAAAAAAACAAGGGTTTTGTCACTGATTTTCTATAGCCCGATTGCACTTCCGAAATCTTAATGTTACTTAAGAAAATACGAGAAAGTTTAAAGGAGATCACTCCCGCTTTATTTTGTTTTGCCCCAGAAACTGCTAGACCAACATGGCCGACACGGCCAAGTTTAGCTTTAATTAAAAAATGTCAAGCTATAAAGGTCAATTTAATATAGACATCATTAGTAACACAACAGTTGAAGTAACATTTGTACGCGGTCAATGATTGACAACAGTGTGAAACACGGAATTTAAAACTCAGTAAATCAAAGTGATCAATGAACAAGACATTGAGATAGACTTAAATTTACTCGGACGCTGATCTATCATACACGGTGATGGCCCTACGCTCCGTGTGCGAAAGCCCGTAAGAAAAGAGTAAAAGCGATTCAGGTTTTCTCCCCCCCCCCCCCCACTTTTAACACACACCTGTACTATGTGTATCACGTGCCTCTATCCAGACTGGACAGTGTGTTAGGTGTCCACGTGTTGGTCAAATCAATGTCATGATTGGCCACTAAGTCAGATGACCAGTAACATGTGTGCTTAAATAACATACATAAAGTGAAGGGGGAGACGGAATAATAATGAGGTAACTGGTGGGGAAATAGACTAAGGCAAGATGGCGGGTTAACACTTTGACCATCACAGATGACTAGGTAAAAAAATATATAAGAAAAATAATTGCTCATAACAGCTTTTGTCACATTCAGAATAAACCGGGAGTGATCTCCCCTAAACTTTCTCGAATATTTTTATGTAAAATAACAGGGGATGGGAACTCGGGCTATAGACATGATTTTTAATCCATTTTAAATACTTAAAGTTTTAAAAATAGAATAAAATCTCGTAGACAAAAGAATTGCACACCAAGTGAACACTAAATAAAAAAGTGCATAATAGTGCGCAATATTATTAGTACTTTAAAAATATACATTAGTTTTTTTGAGAAATCGGAAGTAGCGTAAATTACTACTTCCGGTCAACGGAAAGGACTCAAAATTTAACAGAAGGTAGAGAATTAGATCTTTTACTTACGTGTGTAATTTCGTTTATCTATCTGACATAGTACTCAAGTTATAGGCTTTTGAAAATTTCAAAGCAGGAAAAGTACCACTTTCGGTTATCGGAAATCGCTCAAAAGTTGATACGGATCTACGATTTTGATAAAATACTTATATATGAAATTTCATCAACCTAGCTGTAACGGTACTCAAGTTATCGTGTTTACACACACACAGACAGACAGACACACAGACAGACACACAGACATACGGACAAGATTGCAAAATTATGTTTTTCCGTATCAGTGAGATGTAAAACGTCGAGATTTGTAAAAATCTCGATTTTTTTTGCACGATTACAAGACTTTCTCTATACTTCGTATATACGAGAAAGTAATAACTGAGAACTAAAAAAGAACGCAAAGTTTGCTAAACATTTAAGTGAAACATAACAGCTAGTAAAAACTTAAAGAAAAAACAAAACTCGCAGAAGTACGTTGATACAATCATTGAGCTGTTAGAGGACGCTCTCACAGAACTTTGTGAGCCAGTCACAGATTGAAACATTTTAAAATCTACGGATGAAATTTCCTACATCATTATCGTAAAACCCAAGAACTCAGTTGCATAGAAGCCACACTTCATCCATGTCTTTATCAACAAACATGAAGACAAAATGGTTTGTCTCGTTGGACAAGAGGTCCCTTAATAATTAATATTGTGCGTTATTAATGTTATGCTATTATTATTGACTGACTACCGATATTTGGCTCAGTGAAAAAGGTTTAAAAGTATGACTAAGTAATTAACTCAGTTTCACAATCGTTTAACTTTTAATACATGAATTATTGGCATTGGAGTAATGATACAACTTAGATTAGCCTGGAATGGGCGACTGGTCTTCAGGGCGGCATGGTCACACTTGCTCACACAGACCTCTGTACTGTCTAAGTTTCAGCGCCAAGCTGGCCGGCTGTAAAATACATGTGACAAAGTTCCTAACATCTGGGTGCTATAAACATTCATTCAGACTTCAGACATACAATTTTATTATTGTAACAAAGATAATATTACATTTACGTTAGCCTGACATAGGGCCTACAATAAACATTACTAGAAAATATGCTTTTCACTCATACATTGTTTTATATTCATTCCATACTTATTAATTAATATTATAACAGTACAGCTAATAAAAGTAAGTGTTAATTACCTTCCAATGAAGCCACACAATCCTCTACACACGTTGCCAAACGTACGTTTAATTTCTCCGAGGAGAACAAGTGCCGTAGCACCAAATAAAGTATAATCCTAATTTATAAAAGGCCATGTGCGCTCTTCTCTCTCTCTCTCTCTTTCTCTGTCCGCAAAAAATTTTCGCCGGACATCACGTCAGAATCGGCAGCGGTATATGGAGAACTTTTTACGGACTTTTGTTGAAAATAATATGTTAGATGTTTTAAATGTATAACCACAATTTTACTTAAAGAAGAAAAATAAAAATTAAAGGCGTATTCGAATGTAGAGAAACAGTATTATTTATGCAACCGGAAAAGCATTAATATATGTGAAAAAGAACGCATAAAACTGTGACGTCACTATTGCTTATACATTAACTAATGACGTCATCTGCCGTGTTAAGAATGAAAAGAAATGAACTATTTCATTCAAATTTGATTTAGATCTACGTACACTATGAAATGTATACAATACAATTTTTCCGGCCTAAACTCATAAAATTTATTTTATGTATTTGGATTCTAGATCTAGAGATTCTAGATCTAGACTAAATCTAAATCTAAATCTACGCAATAACTAGATCTAGATATAGACGTAGACGCTAAGATCTAGATTTAGACTCTAACTTCTCTAAAATCAATTCCAAAAATAAATGTCTATATTAGGACTAAACTATTTCAAGACTTATTTATTTTATACAAAATCTTTGTTTGGAACTGGCTAATTTGGGATAAAAAATTAATTTGAAAGAATAGGCATATTCGCGTAAGTTAAGATTTTAAAATACGTGTTTCATTCTCCGTATTTTATAAGGTGCCTAAATAGCGGAGATGTTAGTGTACATTAAACCACGCAGGTGGTGCGGGTTCGAGACACAGCAAGTCAACTTGGTTAATGTATTCTTTTTTATTATGCTCGGGCTAAATTTAAAAAAAAAATTCTTTTAGGAATCTAGATCTAGATCTAGATTGTCGGGTGTCCGATAGGGCACTTCCCGGCGCCGCAGGCGCTTCAAATTTGGCATGATCTTGCCTTGGTGCGACAGAACACGGGGGCCGGTTGGCCGAAAAGTCTACGATGTGGGGGTCAAAACTGACCTCGACTGACCGGTACCTTATATGAGCTATAAATCGAAAAAAAATGTCCACCAAGGAACCTCTTCATAACTCTTGAGGTCGTAGACCGACCTTCGGGCGAATTAATTAAGCATTCAAATTCTCAATGTTTTCGAAAGCCTAAGCGAAGCTGGGCAGCATGCCTAGTATGTTATGTTGGCTAGTGCCTTAGCACCAAAGAAAAAAAACGTGTACCTCCAAAGATGGGAGAAGGTAGAGTGACCGGACTGTAGCGTCCCTACCCTACAGGTCACATGACTCAGGCTCCGCCCTCATGACCGCAGTCTGAGGTCGAGGCCCAGTCAGCGTTACGATACCACTGGACTCAGGTCCAGGTGTGTACCGTTACCTGTGGGTAGCAGGAAGGGGGGAGAGGTGGAGACTGTAAGATAGAGGAATAATGTGCCCTAACTGCTAGACACATCAATAAGACACTTTAAATTCTCCATTTTAGATTTCATAGCGGCGTAAAATTAGTTGACGGACAATTTCTCACGGCAAATCTCTGTACGGAATGGATAAACAAGAGAATATTTTCTTTTGTTAGTTGTTTCCCATTTAAACATGTATTGCGACCAGGGGAAGCAACCTATATACTGATTTTTTTGCATTATAACTATAGTAATAATACAATGTAAACGAAAATAATTGTTTTAATTATTATATTAAACACAATTAATAATATGTTTTAAGGTAATATTCTGTTCATTGTTGCTAATTTTTGGATATCTGAATAATTAGTTTGCTTTAAAATGTGTAGAAAAGCTTTAGCTCAATGACCTGCTAAATATTTAAAGAATTGAAACCATCCTCATATATTCACATGCTTATACACAAATAAACCAAATTTTGGATCACTTGAAATCAAGGGACAACAGATGATAATATTTATCTCACTCAGTCTATGAGATTAATCGACCTGTTTGTGCTTTTAAAGGTTGCAAATAATCTATATATATAAAAAGCAATGTATGTGTGTCTGTGTGTTTGTCCTTTATGCATTACTACACCTCTCATCACATCTCCGTGACACTTTGGGAAGTTGTTGAGAATATACCTGGGGAGGTTTCTGCGAAAAAAAAATTTCAAATTCGCATGGGTGGCGCCCCGGCAGGGCGCGATTTGTTTTTCTCTATATACGGTATATAAAAATAAAAAGTTGATTTTGGTTTGACATCGTTCATCTGCTAGCCATGAGACTTTGGGGAGTTCATAATAACACTCTAAGGAAGGGTTCTGTAAAAAAAAAAATTAATTTCGCAAGGGCGGCGCCACGGGAGGGTGCGATTTTCCTCTATATATGGTATATAAAAATAATAAAAGTGAATTGCAGTGACACCGTTCATCCGATAGGCATGAAACTTTGGGAAGTTGTTAAGAATATTTCTGAGGAGGTTTCTGCGAAAATAAAATTTCAAATTCGCCGGGGTGGCGCCCCGGCAGGGCGCAATTTGTTTTTTCTCTATATACGGTATATAAAAATAAAAGTTGATTTTGGTTTGACATCGTTCATCCAATAGTCATGAGACTTTGGGGAGTTCATTATAAAACTCTAGGGAAGGGTTCTGTAAAAAAAAACATTTTTAATTTCGCAAGGGCGGTGCCACGGGAGGGTGCGATTTTTCTTTATATATGGTATATAAAAATAAAAGTCGATTTTGAATGAGACACCGTTATCCGATAGCCATGAGACTTTGGGGGAGTTGATTAGAACAATTCAGGGAAGGGTTCTGTAAAAAAAACCTTTATTAATTTCGCAAGGGCGGCGCCACGGGCGGCTGCGATTTTTCTCTATATACGGTTTATAAAATTTAGTTTTCACACCGTTCATCCGTGTACCATGAAACTTTGGGGAGATGATCAGATCACTCAATGGTAGGGTTCTGCAAAAAATTTTGTTTAATATTGCAAGGGCGGCGCACCACCGGGGGGGGGGGCGATTTTTTCTCTATACACGGTATATAAAAAATAAAACTCGGATGCGGTTCATCCGAGTGCCATGAAACTTTAGGGAGTAGATGAGAATACTCCCGAGAATATTTCTGCGAAAAAGAAAACTAAAGTTTCTTACGGGCGGCGCCATATAGGGTACAACTTTCGTCAATACACGGTTTGGCGCCCAGAGTTTTAGAGCGACTAAGTTGGCACTTGGCATCCGTTAATCGAGCGTCCTGCATGGGGTAGGCTACTACTATATTCGGCGGTAAAACTACAACAGGCTTCTAAAAATAACTTTGTAACGCGAGGAAATCCTGTACAGTTTCGTCACCTAGCAAAAGATGAAAAAATAACTGTTTTAATATGAGGAACCTACTGTAGAGTTTCGTCACTTTGCGAATGATGCAATAAGCATCTATTATTAGACGATCCAGGCCGAAAATGAGACCGAGCATCTATTAATAGACCATTAGTAACGCTAGCATATTGCATCAGTCACACTGATGTTGAAAACACGTCAAATAATTTGTGTATGTATTAAAGAAAAAAATCCTGTTCATTTGTGTCACTTTAGCGAATGACGAAATCTGCATCATTGTTTACACACTGGGTTATCCTATGAGCACGATGGCGCATGTTAGTTTTAAGGAGCCAGGGGCCTTACGCTGCGCCTCTGCGGTAGTGTTATCGGGGGAGGGGGGGGGGGGCTCCTGAATGCGCCCCTCTACGTCCCTGACATATGGGTGGTCACCGAAGTGTGTTCTAACTAATTATTTCGGTGAGTGATTAATATACACTCAAGGTTTTCATGCGGTAGTGTAGGAAAACACGTGTCCCGATAATTATTATCCAAGCGCAGACATTATTAACATTTAAATAACACAGTTTTAGAAAACAAGGTGACGCGTCTAAGAACATATGATTGGTAATGCATTGGTGATATCCTTCTAATATTTTTCGTCAGACTTTCTTCTATCCCCGCGGCAACGCGCGGGGGTCGGGTACGCTAGTTATATTATAAAAAGCTAATGATATAATTTATTTTATACTCGTTTCAAACGGTTTATTTAAATACATGGTTTAGCTGCATATCAAGTGTGTTTCTTATGTAAACCTACTCTACTATTTCCCTGGATTGTCCACTTAACGTAGAATAAAGGAAAATAGTAAAACAACCTCAGGTTGGTGTTAATACAAATACTTTTTTGTTGTTGTTACCACAAATACTGGTTGACCAACATGACAAGATTAGCTTTAAATTTTTAAAATCTCAATCAATAAAGATCAATTCAATATAGACAACATTTAAAAATCAATGTCTATATCCCGAGGTGCCACCCCCCGTAGTGTTATATAAGAATATTCGAGAAAGTTTAGGGGAGATCACTCCAGTTTTTTTAAAAATGTGAAACATCATCATCACCATCACTCTCCCAATGCTACAATAATTTGCTGAAATAGTGGATCTCAAATATTTTAATTACGCATTTGCATTTTCAGGTTGTTTTAAAAATAAAATAAAACTGTAATTAGACGTTTTGTATTAGTTCTATGTAAAAGTAACCCATCTTAAATGAATGAAAGCAGGCTACAAATAAGAAATAAGTATTTCTATTGTAAATCTGCATCATTCATCACAAGACGATGATGAAAACTGTAATACTAAAGCGAACATGCAAGGCGAACTTGTTCCTATAAACTCCGGTTGTTTTTTTGGCGATTCCTTTAAGCTCCGGCTGTATTTTTTGGCGATTCCTTTAAGCTCCGGCTGCTTTCTGACAACTGATCTTTTCCAAATTTGTTTTGGCCCATCTACTTTCCTCTTTCATCGGGGATTCAAATCGAGTGCCTGTCTAGTGATATTGCTAGTGTCTTTACGCAATGTGTGTCTATGTTCATCCCCATTGGAGCTTTTGTATTTTTTGGCCGACAATGACTTGTCCAATTTACCTCCACATTGGTAACTTTTTCAGGCCACCTGATCTTCAATATGCCACGTAGGCATCTGTTAATTAAAGTCTGGAGTTTGTTTTTATTGTATGTCGCTATGAACACAAAAAAAAGTTACTTAGCAACATCTAAAATATTTTCTTCCTGCTTCAAGTGCTGCCGGTGTGTGCTCTATTGTCGCTGGTGCTGATTCATGACGTCATGAAGGTCAAGCTTCAGGTCAGCTGTGACGAGACAGTGAGGAAAATTCTTTTGATCGCCAGCCGTGCTTTGATGACTGAAAACCGCAGTTTTGACCAGTTCAGGTAGAAAATGTTATTTGATATACATACAAACATATATATATATATATATATATATATATATATATATATATATATATATATATATATATATATATATATATATATATATATATAAGTAGTATATTAGGTCACTTTTGGGTCGTATTTGGGTGGCGCAAAGGTTATATAGTAAAATACTCGGGTCGGGAGGTACAATGACATATAACAAAATACTCCCTAGGGTGGCGCAAAGACATATAGTAAAATACTCCATGACCTAGTTACGTAATTTTAATGGGTTTTTAATTAGGTTTAATGAGTTTTTAAAATTTTAATTAATTTTTTGACCTAGTTACGTAATTTTAATGTGTTTTTATTACGTAATTGTTTAATTTGTTTGTGTTTTGTTTGTTTATTTTTAATAACTTTAATTAATTTGATTTTTATTTATTTTGTTTTGTATTTGATTTTAATTTTTTTTTTAATTATTTTTATTTTGTTTTTTAAATTTTAATTAATTTTAGTTTGATTTAATTGATTTGATTTTAATTTTAAATTTAATTGATTTTAATTACTTTGTTTGTATTTTGTTTGTTTATTTTTAAGAGTTTTAATGAATTTTTAAATTTTTAATTAATTTTTATTATCGAGTTACGTAATTTAATTACGTAATTTAATTACTTTGATTGTATTTTAATTATTTTAATTTTGTTTGTTTACTTGTTGTTTAATTTAATTACTTTGTTTATATTGTGTAATTTTTATTAACGAGTTACGTAATTTGATTATTTGTTTACTTTTTAATTATTTTTATTTTGTTTATTTTTAATTTAATTTAATTTTATAATTAGTTAAATTATTATTAACTAGTTACGTAATTTGATTTTAATTACTTTTGTTTATTTATTTATTTGATATATTTCTTTTCTTTGATGTATGGTATTTAAAATAAAAGACACTGTTTATTTGATTGTATGTATGTTTAATAGTAAACGGATAGGGGTGTTGGTGGATGAGAGGGGGAGTAATGATGGGGTTTGAGGGTAGGGGTGCGTTAGCGTGTACTTTGTGAATAACATCCATTAACCAGACACGTAACACCTGTTACGTATCGACCGCCCGCGAAGTTTTCCGGGCTGCGTGTTTTTAATGGGAATGTATTGATCGCACCCAATGGGCCATCACAGCATGATGTCCCACCTAATTAAATTTTTGTTATGCTTCACCGAGTTTCCCCCACTCGGTTGACAGGTTATGGTAATTTACGACGTACATTAAGTGGCTTTCCGCGAAGTACGTAGGTCATTATGCAACAGCTGTGTAATATCGATCACATCCACTGACCATCACACCTAATTAAATTGGTCACACATCGTAAGTGTAGCGACATCGGTAACTATTCGCTTATAGCGAGGTCAGCGAAAACCGATCGATTTGTCAGCTCCGTGAAGCCCTTAGGTAACAGCTGGTGCTGTAATTAGTCACGGCTCTCGGCTTTTTTCATTAGATTACAGCTGTCCATGAACTATCGAGTTACGTAATTTGATTATTTGTTTACTTTTTAATTATTTTTATTTTGTTTATTTTTAATTTTATTTTATTTTTAATAAGTTTAATTAATTTGATTTTTATTTATTTTGTATCTAGTTACGTAATTTTAATTTTATTTTATAATTAGTTTGAATTTTTATTGACTAGTTATGTAATTTAATTACTTTGATTGTTTAATTAGTTTGTTTACTTGTTGTTTAATTTAATTACTTTGTTTATATTGTGTAATTTTTATTAACGAGTTACGTAATTTGATTATTTGTTTGAAATTCATTTTAATTAATTTGATTTTAATTACTTTGTTTAATTTATTTATTTGATATATTTCTTTTCTTTGTTGTTTAATTTGTTGGTTTGTTTATTTGGTTGTATGTATGTTTTAAATTCTCCCATACAACGACCGTGTACAAAAAACAGGTTAAATTCTCCACCACAACGAACGTTACAAACATAGAACATTCATTTAATCACATCTGTTACTTAGCGATCCGCGATCCTTTGTTTTTGACACGCGCTCCCCGGTTTTTAATGGGAATGTATTGATCGCACCCACGGGCCATCACATCTAATTAAATTTTGATAGGTCATGATGATTTATGTGGGTTCGCGAAGCGATCCCACCAGGGGGTATGGTAAACGTAATTTAATTACTTTGATCGCATTTTTATTTTGTTTAATTTGTTTGTTTACTTGTTGTTTAATTTAATTACTTTGTTTATATTGTGTAATTTTTATTAACGAGTTACGTAATTTGATTATTTGTTTACTTTTTAATTATTTTTTATTGAGTAGTTACGTAATTGGATTTTAATTTTTTGAATTTTTAAATTTTTAATTTTATTTTATAATTAGTTAAATTATTATTAACTAGTTACGTAATTTGATTTTAATTACTTTGTTTATTTGTTTATTTAATATATTTCTTTTCTTTGTTGTTTAATTTGTTGGTTTGTTTATTTGCTTGTATGTATGTTTTAAATAAAAGACTAACACTAGCGTGGACTTTGTATAGGGACCATTCAGCAACACAACGAACGGTTACCGAAAATAGAACATCCATTTAACCACACCTGTTACTTATCGATCCGACACCAAAGCTTTTCGTTTGACTGGGACCGTACACGTCCAGAGTTAATATTGGTCACACCCACTGGACCATCATCAACTTGATAGCCCGCCTAATTAAATTTTGACACCCGTCATTGATTAATGGGGTTCACTAAGTGTCTCTCCGCGAAGCACTTAGGTCATTATCCAACAGCTGTTGTGCGACAGCTGGTGGTGTAATTAGGTTGAGCAACCGGACATTACCTTGATGGTTTTCTAGTACGCGTATGCTACACGTATATACACACACACACACACACACACACACTAAAATTAGAACAAAAGTCTTCTTATATTTTATTTGTTTATTAACGTTTTTCCAATTCATCAAAGGCTTTTAAAATTTCATCCTGTAAACTTAATAGGCGCTCAAAGCAGACGCGACTCATACTAACACCAGAATTTGTAGGAAAATTAAGATCGGTCCCATCTATAAGCTCTCTAAGATTTAAAGTGTTTTTGTTCATGAATTGACTGACAATCGCCAATTTAAATCCGGTGTGATTCATCGTTCGTATTTCCGTCACTTTATTGTTACCTCTGGCCACAAGTATCCAATCTTCATTAGACATCTTGAAATAATCTTTTATAATTAGTTCCAATAATTTGAAGTGTTAAACGTAATATAATACGATCGTTAATATATTGACGATTCGCTGACGCCGAAAAGGGTTGTAATATAACTTTTAAATTTGCACCGCGCGTTTAATCGAAAGAGCTAAGTAGTTAACCGCAAAGCTACCGTTAAGTGTGGCGACAGATGTTACCAAGCGGGTGGTGGTGGTGGTGGTGGTGGTGGTGGTGGTAAATTTGCTTAAGATTATAAACTTCAAGTTTTAAAAAGCAACAACGTTATAGTACGTCGTGTCAAATGACACACAGTTTAAAATGTCTACATTTAAATTTCACCAAAATAAGGATGTATAAACTAAATATGATATGACGTTAGCATACATATCATTCAATCTAATCATTCTAAAGTACAAATCAATAATTTTTATTGATTAAGGGGCTGGGTGAGTTATTTTTATCACTATTCGCCCTTCCCCTTCCATTTGTCCGCAACCCCTTTCCCCTTCTCTCATCCCTAACCTCAATACCAACCAATAGATACACAGACCGTACCACTACCCATTCTATTCCATTAAAGAGGCAAAGGCTGTAGGACAATCCTACAGACAAATATTTATTCAACTAATATCACAACTCCTAGACACTACTTCAACAGACTGAGATATGTAACTTGTAGACACCACTCCGTAATGAATACCATAGGCGCCCTACCTACATCGACAACTTTGTCCGCCGCTCTCACCCCATCCCTAAACAACCGATAGATAAACACACCATACCACTACCCACACTATTCCCTTGGACAGACAAAGTAACAGACAAACTTGTATCTGTATTCAACTAATGTTACAAGTGACAACGTTCCCATCCAACTCCAAAACATCCATGGCCGAATTTCGAAACCAGCCTCGTTGAAAACTCCCCTGACCCTAGTTTAACTTTGCCTCACCATTTCCAAAACAGTCCTGTACCAAACATCCATGTACCAATTTTGTTGAAAACAAAGACCGTCCCACTCTAGTGTAAACTCTACCCCGACCAACTCCGAAACAGGGATGGTCCACGTTTGAAATCTGCCTCGGTGAAAATAAAACCATCCCACAGTAGTATAGACTCGGCCCCTATCACTTCCAAAACATGCATGTAGTAACTTTGAAACCACCCTCGGTGAAAATTTCACCGACCCTAGTATGAACACAGCCCCTGTCCATTCCTAAACATGCATGTACCAACTCTGAAACTCCCCCGACCCTAGTATGAACTCGGCTACCAACAATTCCTAAACATGCATGTACCAATTTTGTAACCTGAAAACTTCACCGACCCTAGTATGGACTCTACACCTACCCCCGACCCTAGTATGAACTCGACTGCCAACAATTCCTAAACATGCATGTCCCAACTTTGTAACCTGCCTCGGTGAAAACTTCACCGACTCTAGTATGAACTCTACACCTACCGATTCCAAAACATACATGTTCCGAGTTCAAAACCAACCTTCACCGACACTAGTATGAACTCGGCTACCAACAATTCCTAAACATGCATATACCAACTTTGTAACCTGCCTCAGTGTTAACAAACCTCCCCGACCCTAGTATGAACTCGACTGCCAACAATTCCTAAACATACATGTCCCAACTTTGTAACCTGCCTCGGTGAAAACTTCACCGACCCTAGTATGGACTCTACACCTACCGTTTCCAAAACATACATGTTCTGAGTTCGAAAGCACTCTCGGTGAAAACTTCACCGACCCTGGTATGAACACGGCCCCTAACAATTCCAAT